TTTGCCTTGCGAAAAGGTCGCTCCGCAATAGGCCGCGCTTAGGAGAGCGTATCGTGTGGCTGGGCGTGTGGCTGGGAAAGGTTAGATAAGCCGCAAGGCTGAGGTGGGGCGATGGGTCGAATTCGTTTTGGGTTGGAGGCGGGGTACGAGGCACATGTACAGTAAGCAGTATTTGTCGAGATGAGGCTTTGCTTCCTTTCATCTTTTTCTCTTTCTTGGATTCACAAGAGCTGGATGAGATGATTGCGCTAATTGCATGCTGTGTGAATATATATGAACAGCCGAGTGACCACCGGATGAAACACTGGGCAGTTTATTCTGCCGTCATGGGTTGGCCGGCATGATTATCTAGTCCTGTCTTTATGGGCAGTGCGTTCTTCTACTGCAAACTCAATAGCAAAGGGACTCCGGCATCATTACCCAAAGCCAAATTACCATGCTACCCAATATAAAACCTATAGCCCGCAAAATATAAATCTTCAAGGTGCCCATATGCCCTAATTGTTACTGAGGAGCGTCAGCCACCAGAGATACGGAGACTGTACAATGCAGCATAGACTCTCCACAAGCCCACCGATGGGTTTGTTTTGAGCGAATTCCCTGTTTTAATAGCTCTAATCCCTTCTAATCCATTGTCCTTCTTGCCAAGTTCCAGTATCGAGGCGCAGCTAGGAGCTCTCATTTCCTTTCATGTTGTGATTCCAACTATGGAATGAGTATAAAACATCCTTATTTACTCACAAAAGCATCCAAAGCCGTCTAATGGGACCTGTGATAACATCAACTTGATCGTTTTTAGCTCAGACAAAGAAAGAAAAAGAGGGACTCCTCTTGGCTGTGTTCCCCATTTAACACAGGAGGAGATTAGTTCCCTCAGATGCGCTGTCGTCGGCCTTTATTGCTTGCGTCTTTGGCATAGCTTTCGCCTGGACTTTACTTATTGATATTTTCGGTCGCCGTGCTTTATGACGTCTGACTTTAGCGTCTCTCAAATCTAATTTGCAATCGGCTTCTTGAAAATAGCCCTCCTAGAATGACCAGACGTGTCTTGAATGGACATTGCTACACATTAGACATAATTGATAGCCAAGATCTTATCGGCTAACCCGCTTGAGAATATTTCCAACGGGCTCTACAGCATGTATGTCTCCATTACGGAAGGCTAACTGGGCAATACAAAGTGGCCGCCAAGGGGAGAATAACATGTGAGCTGCCCTTTTTCGAGCAGACAAGGCGCTGGTTCTGTCCCCTTCCTCTTGACGACGTCTCTTGGCATTTACAGCGATAATTCATGAGTGAGATGTTAGCACTAAGTTGGGATCGGCCTCCTCCACCTTCGTCCAGCGTGTACTAGCTCCTCACAAGAATACAGTGTTTACCGTAAAGCAGTTCTCACGTCGCGGCTCGTCTTCACTAGCTCACTGCGATTGCACATGATAACAAACAGTTGGTAGCAAAGATACCAACTCCCGGTTGTTGCAAGGCGGTAAGAGTCTGGGTTGGGGTTGGTCACTTCGCTGTGCATCTTGTCAAACCACGAATTCCAAGGCCATGCAAGCATGAGTACCAGCCAGCCATGGTCGGAGGTTGATTCCGGAAAAGTCAGATCTGCGCATCGCTAATCAATGCCGGTTTCCTATCCAGTAGTAGCACCAATACGGCCCAAAGAGCGGAGTATGTTACATGAACATGAACAACGGCCTCCCTTGCGTCCGAGCCGCCAGGCCGGAGAGAAAGTGAGACATAATCGTATAGCTACTTACTTGGACGGGAAACATACCAATAGTATGTCCCTACTCCATACAGGCGACCGTTTTTTCTGTCTCAGCTTGTCGTGATCCAGTTGCGCCTTGCGTCGCGCCGGCGAGCTTGGCTGCAGGAAGAAGGCATCTGTCTGCAGGACTCGAATGATCTCGGGGAATCAATGCCGCGACGTCCATGGTTGTTCTAGACCTGCAAGAGCAAAGCTTTCTTTTCCCTTGGACGAAGGGAGGAGAACAGCCTGGTTGATTCGCCGAAAGCAGCCAATCAACGTTACCGCTCATGGCGAGGGTTGAAATTGACAAATCAGAGGTAATATGCTTGTACGCCCCAAAGCCGCTGAAAATTATGCCGTATACGCGTGACTTGGTCTTGATACTGGCATCATGTCGTGTGTGGGCGAGACCTGTGCTTTTCCACACCATCTCGACTTGGGGGTGGAGAGGTGTCTGTGTATGAATGGGAATTCGAGTGAGCCCCCAGGGCCTCTCTGGATGCAAGAAGCACATCCAAAAATGCTACTCAGAATTGGCGAGCACCCAAGTGCTAGCATCCCAAACCCAGGTGAGAAGGTATGCCGTGATTGAAAAAAGTGGTGTTCCACAAATGGGCCTCGATGAATTCGTGCTAACCTCCCCTCATGATGGACGCGGGAAATCTGGCCATGCCGGCGTCCAAGCCGGCCACTGAGCCATTTGATTTTACTAATTCGACGACGGGTATGAACCGATATAACCTTCGTGTTAGGTTGAGAAAGTTCAGCCGCTGTATCACAAAAAGCTTGACAACATCGGAAGACCAGGGGGCGACGATCCGAGGGCTTGGTACTACACACCAAGCTGCGGGGGAGCAATGCCAAGGCAATTAACTACTTTGGGGATGGATGTGGGAAAAGAGATGCCGTCGAGAGAAGAACTCGGTGTAGCAGGTAGTTTTGGTATGTATGACGTGCTCTGTCCTCAAAGGCTGATCCCGCTGACTCTCACCCAGTAGTAGACATGGTGGCTTGCGAGCTGGACCGAATTTATGAACTATCACTTGGACAACGCCATCCATCGGAGTGTAGAGGCCAAAAACCGAAGAAGAAGAAGGGCTGGTGGCTTGAGCAAAGATAAAAAAAGAAATTGAGACTGGGTTACACCTTTGGAACCTCCAACATGATCGGGTTCCAAGGCTCAAATGCCTGGCAAGGTTAAATCGCCTGACCCACAATATGCAGTATGAGCAGGCAGCTACTCAGTAGTGGGATTTGTTGTACAAACAATAGTGGGCTTGTCATTGTTGTGTGCGGGTTTCGAAAGGGGATGGAAATTATCAGATGATAAGATCTTTGAGGAGCGGAGAGATTGCATGCTCGTATATGACTGAGATGGTTTGATGTAGGCCAACTGGTTACTTATAGGCACCATGACCAATGACGAATCGAGGGAGTAGATAGGATGGCTGTGAGAGACAAGCCTGTCTAGATTGACCATCTTGAGATGTGTGGGTGTCATTAGCAGCTCCTCCAAGATTGCTGTGGGAGCCGGTCGCTCTCTCAGCCGTTAGCAAAGGCGAGGCCTTTGAAAAAACCGGGCTGACCGGCTGCAGCTATGCCCGACGCCTGTCGAGACAGGCACTAGGACATCTCACCAGCCAGGTTTCTCTGCATTGCTCGCCTCGCCGTCCCTCTCCAGCCATGGCGTGACTGTCGGTATCAAGGTTCAGCGATACACTGCTTTATCAGGCCGAAACACAGATGCTCAACGCCGGCCGCGTTGATCCTGAGACAGAAGCCCGCAGAGCACGATGCTGATTGCATTGTCATCAGTATGCTCATACCGTCGGTTACCTGCCCCACTGCTCCTGAGTAGTACTGTAGCTGGACCCGATGATGACACCGGCCAAAGCATGCTATGCAATTCAGCCCATGCTATGTGCTTGTGCCTGGCGAGCTGGACGGTTCCCAAAGTTTTCGTTGAACAGCGGTGACGACAGCACCTGGTTTGAATGCTCAGCGTGTTGAGGCAGGGAGGGGAGAGGAGGCCCTGGCTCCTGCAAGGTTAGTTGACCGGCTGACCGGGGTTTCTTGCAGGGGATGGAATTGGATGCTTTCTCATGCAGCTGGGACAGCGAGTGAAACATGTCGCAACCCGGTCAATGGAATGGCAATCGACAGGTGAGACAGGAAAAGGTTGAGGGGCTGCAGTCCATCGGGCAATTGGCCATGAAGCTGTCCAGATGGCCATTTCCCCACCCTCACTCATGCGGCGGTCGAGCTTCTCCCTGAGCAGGGATTGACGAGCGGAAAGCAGCCTCTGCGCTGTATGGCCGCTGTACGAATTGCGCACGTAGTAGGTATCTATTGGCTGTTAGCACGAACCGAGTCTTGGACCCGACCGCTCACGGAATACGATAGTAGGACGAACGCGGGAGCTTGTGGTGTTGATAACTTCTGAGGTGTCTAAAGGTAAGGGAGCGAGGATGAGGTGTCCCGGCATTGGGGTTTAATCAAGTACCTACCTACAGCACAGTACGGAGTACCAGCACGAGATATCTCTAGTCAAGAGGTACCTACTGACCTACGGCGTCAAGGTCAAGGTATAGCAGATACGATACGTAGCGCCAAGTCCCTTGACGAGGACCGGCAGGAAGCCCTCGTGGTTGCGGATACCTCAGGTCGCTTCCTTAGTACTGCTGGGAAGGAACCCAGTAGTCCTTGCACGCTAACTACCTAGGTATGGCAAGAGAAACATGCACCCTCCCTTCCCCATACTTGCTGGTAGTATTCCGTCCTTGGTACGAATTATAAAGTGGCAGGCGTACCCATCCTCGTACCTTGCCTGGTAAGAGGAGATCGGTATGGAGTACGTGACGGGTACTCGGAGCGCGCCGCGGGCACCGGCGTGATTCATGCTCATCCAAATGTAGCCGTTAGGTCAACGAAAACAAGGTGACATGCGTCTTCGTACTCGTATGGCTGACACTGTCAACCATGCCCTCGGCCTTGGCCGGTGAATGAGTCGCAGCATTTCAAGCACGTTTTGCAGCATGTTCTTTATTTGCATCAGAGGAATGATGAGATCTATGGCCAAGTCGGGCGAGAGAGACACAAGTTCCCTGGGAGTACTGTAAGCTAAGCCTGCGTGCGTGCGTGCGTGCGTGCGTTCTTTCTGCAAGGTAGACGGCAAGTTTAGGGAACCTGGAGGCTGTTAGTTTCCATACCTTGCCTGTTGGGAGAGAAAAATTTTCTCTCAACCATGGCCTTGCATATGGCCAGGATTCATCTCGACGCCCATATATGTACTCCGTCCGACTTGTATCAGAAGGGCGTCGCCCGCGTTACACAGCTCCAGGCCATGGACGCTTTCGGCATCGCCTATTGTCGAGCGTTTGGTGGAAACACGGAATCCCGCATCCCTGTGAGTGAGAGCTTTTGTCTGTGTTGTGGGAGAAACCGGGACTGCCGAATGGCCAGGTCGAAGACCACCGGCCGGAGTGCGTCTATGAGTTGGCAAGGCCTTCGAGACCCGGCAGCCCGCCGACCGCTATTACGTCCAATTTATCTTAGGTTCAGTCCATATTCTTCTCCCTTGTTGCTAGTTTTGCGTCTACTGCCGAGCCCGCTGTCCTCCCCCTTTTAGGCAACGATGGATAGATATGCTACTGCTACAGGTAGTATTGCCGAGCGATGACGATCTTCATCGAGGCTACTCCGGAAAAGTGCTTGTCTTGAGCTTTGATGCCGCTAGAAGAAGCTCCTGGAACAGCCAGTAAGGTTTTAGCGCCCTGGTGGCCCTTATTGGGTAAGTGCCATAATATGGATGCTGCTGCTTCCGACATATGGAACGATGCTATTCATAGAGGCCAGCCCAATCAATCAAGGTGCCTTACCTATGGAGGAAAGTGATTGAGAACATCCACGTCCAGCTACCGACGGACCGATGTCAGATAATCGCGGTAGGTCAGCCAGACTATACTACTGTACTGTACAATCAACATGACACCCTGGTGTCTGCTCTCTCAACATCGAGCTCCTGGTGGTGTACGAGCACTCGTGGCTCCCCTGCTCTTCGACTGGCCCTCGAAGCGCAGCATGGACCAGTCACTGGTTTGACGGGTTGGGCTCTCCTGCGGGAGGATAGCAAGCGGCACAGCAAGTTTGGCCTCGAGACTCCTCCGTCGGCGCTGGGCAACGAGATGGCGGCTGCTGTCCGCGCTTTGGACTGCCACACCGCGAATTGCATATAGTCTTGCATTGGTATGCATTACGGGGCACCACCACAGCAATGCAGGTAGCAGGCGGTGAATAAGTTGCTGCATGCTGAGCGCAGCCTGGAGCTCGCGCTTTTCCGACTGACGTCTTGCTCTCGTCACAAATGCTTCTAGACGTTTGAGCTGGAGCCAGCTCACCCTTCACCCTTGGCCCAACAGACGCGGCCCCCCGCCCGGGGAGGAATTGAATGGGTACGCGCATACCGTCACCGAGCAGCAAGCTGTGCTAACACGGCAGCCGGCATGCGGCGTTGGTCGTAAAAAGCGACAACTCACTTCTTTGTTGCTTTCCAGGAAGATGGAGACAAAGGAGAAGCAGAGGCCCGGATATGAACAAAGCTCCACAGCAGCCCTACCATTACAGTACACTTCCCTTCCGTGCCTGTTAGCACAACATCTCCAACGAGTCCTCGAGCAACAAGCATGCCCGATTGACTTTGATTGCACTAAACAAGCATGACTCCTTTGGGCTAGCCACAAGAAGGCCATTAGCCTGTTTCCTCTTCTCTCAACTGCGCGACCCGGAAGCTGGGGACCTGCAGTAGGAGGAGCCGACTACTGTAGGGCCCAAGATTAGTAGCCTCTATACACCCCGTTCGAGTCTTGGCTGGAGCCCATTTGAGCTCGTACGTGGACCGCTTACAATCGAGAACGGAGGAGTCCTACCAGTATGGAGCATTGCTCCTACTCGTTCGAGTACGAGTAATACGGCGTCTGCAAGCTACGGCATCCGGTGGGTGGGCGAGCAAAGACGGCACGTCTCAGCACACACCTCCGGCTAGGCGGTACACATATACGAGTGGTGCTACTGGATCTTGAATGTCAGGCCGCAGAGCGTCTCCTGCACCCTTGCCACCCCTTGTTGGATTCCCCACACCTTTGCAGATGCAGACTCTTGGGTGTCCAAGTACCTGTTCAGGTAACACTACAGCTGGATGTTAGGAGATACGGACAGGCGGAGGAATAGGTAGGCAGGGGGGTCATGCATACCTCTTTGATGGAGTGCCTTGAATCATAGAGGAGGATTGCTCTTCTCCGCTCCCCTTCCTGTAAGTGTTGAGGCCAAGCATCTTCGCGTGGTGCTGCCATATTACAACCAGTACGGAGTACACTGCCAAGTATAGTACCTACCAAGTAGCACCACCGAACCAACAGCTCGATGTACGTATAAGCATGGGTCCATTTCTTTCTGCTAATGCCGGCTTGAAGGCTAGGGGGCGCTGCATCGACAACGGCCTTGAAAACAGGGTCTGTCCAATCGGCTGGGACTGAAATACCCGCCTCGCCTTTCCCTTGCGAGAGAAGGCCATTCCAGCAAAGACGAACATCGTGTCCCCCTCCAACTTCCCGACAGTGTTGGGCTCGGGGGTTTTGACCGGAGACTGGGCAATACAGGGCCCGTTAAGGCAGCGAGGCGTACAAGATGCACGCGCACGCGGCACACTCGCATTCAGTGGCATGGATTTTGCAGGCCAGTACATGAACTATCCCAAGTCTCGACAACTCTATGCATCTGCACATACTATCGACGAGCAGCAGCTAGCCTGCCGCGCATGATGGGCCGCGCAATTCACATGTAAGTCCATGTAAGTGTGTGCTGCATTGGAAACTACATGTACTCTGTAAGGGTAAGTACCTTGGGCACTCGTACTCGCACAGGCAAGGTATGAGGAGCTACATACATGCGAGGTAGACATGCGGCGGGCGCAGGCCGACACGTACAAAGGACACATGTCCTGGCCAATACCTTGGTAGTATAGGTACGCAGTATCTTAGTAGCAGCCTGCCAGCTACGCCATACTGGGCAATGCAAGGTATAGTACAGGTATGGAGTAGACATGTAATATTTCTTACTTCTCACTTCGATGAGCAAATTTGACTGATGAGGCACTAGCAACTCTGCGATTTGATTAGCCGTCCGGGAGGCAGCTTACTGGTGCCTCGTAAAAGCTGGGAATCGGCGTCACACACGCAGCTCTGACCGCAGCTCCGAATTTGAGGGAACGAGGCGCTCTGGAGGCGTCCATACAGAACGCCTGTCTGCCGTCACCACCACCTTCAGACCACGACAGCCCACGACAGCTACCCGCCGCCACACCCTCTTAATCTAACTACATGTACGAGTATTATACGAATACAGGAATGTAGCAAACTTGCAAACTGGGCGGTGCCCGTACGGACATGGAGCAAGCCTTGCCCTGCTATCGCGACGCATAGCACGTACGAGCACATGCAAGCAGCGGCACCATCAAACTGCCTTGGATACACGGACGGCCACCTACACCCGCGATCCGTTGCCAGCCGCCGCCGTTGTTGCGTTTCACGCTCCCTTGCTGAGGCTCGTATGACAAGCATGCGGATCGCGGGGCTTGTTCCGATTAGATCCCGATTCAAAGCGCTGGGCGCTGGGGGCGTGCTGCATTCGCTTGAAACACGGCCCATCTGAGCGTCGCCTTGCCTAACCATGGATTTCCTACATGAGGTTATAGATGACGGCTTGCCGGAGCGCAGGAAGAACAGTGCCGATGCCACGAATGCGCGCATGCGGCCGTTGGGACTAGCACTCCTTGCCGGTTTCTGATATTGCCGATTTCCCCAGTTATCTATTGGGTGTTGGCAAGGCCATGTCGACCCTGGGAGGCGTACAGCGTACAGTAGCGACGCCTGATGGAAGGCAGAATCACTCGGCTAGATGTGGTGTGCCCGGGATACTCGTACATGTGCTGTCGCAGCAGCTTGCCCAATTGGCGCGGCATCCATGTTTGTTTAATCAAGGGCATCGCTTAATTGTCACAGCTGCAGTGATTAATCGCCGCAGCGCGGCTGCAGGAATGAGCAATTAAACCGGCTCGGCTGGTGGCAGAAGCTCAAGGCACATACGCATACGCATAGGTAGGTAGATAGGCCAAGTGGCCGCGCGGTCTTTTCCCTCTCTCTCTCGCCGTTTCCTATGCTCCTCGTCACCGCTTAAAACCCAAATGTTGCCCAACGTCAGCTGGCGGACTTGTTTGATGGGCATCCTGGACCAGATTGCTCCTACGTGGACGAAGCGAGAGGGTAGCACTACATGGACAGCAAATGCTGCAACCTTGCGCTGGCATCACTTGAAGCCCATGCCGTTGACTGACGGCAAGCGAGCTGCAGCTCCGAGTGGTTCTTGTTCCTTGTTGGCAGTTTGCCACGGGATCTTGAACGGAGACAAGGACTGCAGCTATACCTCGCCCTACCTCCGCTAGCTTGGGTACCTATAATGCCTTTACCTTGCTTGCTTGCCTGCAATGAGCCGTACGAGTATATCCCAAATAACTCTAATGTCTGGCATACGCAACAGCAGTTGGCGAGCAAGGTGCATATGTCACGGACGGAGGAGCTTGAGCAAAGGCAGCTCCAGCCCCATGCCCCCAGCTCTGGATGCAGCTCCGAGCTTCCCCTCACCTCACACCACCAAGCAAAACCCCGGCTCCGGTTCTTTGGGTTTCGGGGCGGAGGAACGAGCGAAAGGCGCAAGCAAGCAAACAAGGCGGTTGGCGGGCCATGGCAGCTCCTCCAGGGGTTGAGGGGGTAGAGGACACAGTTGGCGTTGGTCGGGCAGGGCTGCTTCTGGTTGCCTCTTGTTAATTGAATCGAACGAACTAGACTCGTCAGTTAATCAATCCGTGAATCAAGCTGCCGTCCCGTCGCCAGCAGAGCGTCACCACCTCCTCACGCAGCGCGGGACTCGGGGGGTTTGCATCCTGTTGTCTTGTCTTATGTGGCAGCTCAAGAGACGGACGCGTTGCTGAGTCTGTCTGACGAGAGCATGTCAACCTGTCCGTTGATTAGCCTGGATGGGGTTGGAGCCAAGGCTACAGTAATAGTACATGCAACAGGGCTCCAGCTATTAATATCAATTAGCACCGTCGAGGGGCCGTAACTTTCGATAAGCAGCTGGTAGCTTGGTGTTGCGGCGCCTTAGTGCCGTGCCTTGGGCGATAGGTCGAGATGGCGTCTCAACCAGGGCTAATGTACCGTAACTGCGGCGGCCCTACGGAGCGGAGCAGTCGTGCCGTCCTGTATAGTTCGAGAACTCGAGAACTCGTAAAACTCCATACTGCCTGCCTATGGCCCATCAAATGGTATGGACACATAGCATCAATTCAATGGAGCCAAAAATCGATGCTATGCCCCTCTCTCTGTGGCCATGCCTCGCGGGTGGCTTTTTTCGCCACTGCAGTTGCTGGGCCTTCTGACCACACCCTCAAGTCAGCTGGTGTGCGGTGCGGCGGCTAGCCCAGACCACCTTGTGCCGGAGACGCACAGCGCTAGGCCCAACTGCATGCGGGCCTCTGCAGCGGCGCTCCAGCAACTCCAGCACTCCAGCACCCCAGCACCCCAGCGCTCCAGCGGCCTTGGGTACACGCCCCTCCCCCTGTCCTGTCGCTGGCAGCTGGGCAGACAGCCTGCAGCAGAATGCAGCGCAGTGCCGTGGCGGCCACCGAGGAGACAGCAGGGCTCCACCGCACCCCCCAGAAAGCGATCCAATGGGCCTATGAACATGAATCAATGGATTGCACCCACTTGTGCATCGGCCAGTAGGAGGCCCAAAGCCGTCGTTTTTGACGTCTGCGTGTACTCCGTACTGGTACTCCGTAGTGGTAGTTGTACTTGCACTTGCACTTCCTCCTTCTGCCTCGCATTGCCATCACCGGTTTTGCCCTCTTCATCGCTCGCTCGCTTTGGCAGCTGAGCTTCTCTTGACATCCCCTCTTTTTTCTGCTTTGCTTTGCCTGCTGCTCACTTCCCCCTCATCGCCAGCTGCCAATTGCCAGCTGCCCGGCAATGCTTCATCTCAGGTGACTGGCCCCAGCATTCATTGTAAGCCTGCTCCTCGTATCCTTCTTCTTCCTTTGCCCCCCCGTGACAGCCGCAACACTTGACCTTTCCATTTCCACTTCTTTCTCGGCATCACCTTACCTTTTGCCTTCCACAATTCACAACTCCATCATCGCCAGACAAGCAAACTCTACACACCCTCTCGCAGCTTGCGCAGCCAAACATCACGCACTCATCGCCTGCCCTGGCCTCGACTCCATTCTCCAGAGTCCTAGTTGTTCTCCCCCTTCCCTCTGCCACCCCCCCCAAGAAGCTTCTCCCATCGCCGTCTAGCCACGCTTCTCTGCTAACCCGACTTTTTGTTTTTGCAGCTTGCCAAAATGTTGGCTGACGACGCGCCGCCCGACGACGTTCGTGGCGCCATTTCCGCCCCCGGCGGCGCCAGGGACCTCACCTTGGCCGATATCCTCCTTCGCGATACCCAATATGTCTACTCTCTGGTTCTTCTTGTTGCCTTCATTTCCCTGGCGGCCTGGTACTCTGTCTTCAACTCCAAGAAAGAAGAGGACCTTGTTATTCCCAAGGTCAAGGGTCCCGGAGGCAAGCCCCTTCCCATTACCAAGCGCAAGCGTCGCAACGACGGCGAGCGTAAGATCGGTCCCCGTTTTGGCCGTATCGCCAAGAATGTCTTTCGCTATCTCGCTGCTGTTGTCTTCTTGAGCTATGTGGCAACTGGTGTTTCCATCTTTGTCCATGCCTTCTATCATGAGAACCCTTATAAATGGTCAAAAGAAGGACTCCCATGGGCCGGCGAGTGGACTGTGGTATGATCCCCCATGCTCTCTTCCATCTATCGGTCCCAAGCACTCGGGTCGAGCTTCGACTAGCATCTGCTTGTTGGAAATTTGTCCAATGGCCTCGCGCTCAACCCCTCCTTCCCCGGAATCCACTAACCTGCTTCTCTCCTAGGTTCACGTTGTCGGTTCTACCTTTTTTTATCTTTATATTCTCTTCTCGTTGTTTGACTGGCGCAAGGGCCCCAATGTTGTCCACCTGGCTATCTGGGTTCTGGGCCTCATTGGTGAACTTATCCTCTTCATCTCCACCGCCGTCGTTGCCGCCGACTGCCACTTTCTTCGTACCGCCCAGCAAGATGATCCCACCAAGGAAGAAAACTGCGTTGATTCGTGGACAAAGATTGACCTTGTTCTCTATTTTGTCCGTCTGTTGCACATAGTCGGCTCCATCTCTCTCTTCTGCGTTGCCTGGATTCTCAAGTCTCGTCGCGTCGACAACCGGGCCGAAGAAGGTCGTGTCGTCACTGAGACTACGCCTCTACTGCTTAATGGGCAGCCTCGCTCCATTGACGCTCGGCAGAACTCAGGCTCTGAGGCCAATGGCCGACGATCTCGTGGTAGAACTATTTCCAACGCTGCCAAACCTTCGGGAACATCCTACGCACGCAAGGATGACCAAGCCGCCTTCTATCGACAAAAGAAGATTCCCCACAAGACATGGCTGGAGTACGTTAGAGGCTACTCCCTGTTTTTCCCTTACCTTTGGCCCAAGGATTCTGTGCGGCTACAGCTCCAGGTAATGCTGTGCTTTGCTCTAGTCATCCTTCAACGATTGGTCAACGTCTATGTTCCTTGGCAGATTGGCAAAGTCGTCAACGAACTGGAAAAGGTCATCAGGAGTGGTGAGCCCATCACTAGCGACAACTTCCCCCTCAAAGACTTTCTCATTTTGGGCTTTCTCTGGGTGCTCCAGGGACAGTCTGGCCTTCTTGGCTCCCTGCGATCCTTGCTTTGGATTCCCGTTTCTCAATATTCGTATCGAGGACTGACAGCTGCGGCCTTTAACCATGTCCACTCTCTCAGTCTCGATTTCCACTTGTCCAAGCGCACTGGCGAGGTTCTCTCTGCACTCAACAAGGGCTCTGCCATCAACGCTTTCCTCGAGCAGGTGACGTTCCAGGTTATCCCCATGCTTTTCGACTTGTTCCTCTCAATCTCCGTCTTCTACTACCAATTTGGCCCTCTGTACGCCCAACTCAACTTGGTGGACACCTGCTGGTACCTTTACATGACAATCAAAATGGCCGCGACGAGAGCAGACCAGCGACGGGAGATGACAAACGCCGATCGCGAAGAAGAAGCGGTGAAGAACGACTCTATCTCTAGTTATGAGACAGTCAAATACTTCAACGCAGAAGAGTACGAGTCCAACCGGTATCGAGCCAAGGTCGCAGTCTTCCAAAAGGCTGAGGCTCAGGTCCAGGTTGGCATGGTCCTCATGAACATTTGCCAGACTCTCGTCTTCAACTTGGGCAGAATAGTCGCCGCCTTGGTCTGCGGGTGGCAAGTCTTGGTTGGCATGCGAAGTACGGGCGACTGGTTCGTCGTCGTGTCTTACCTGACCCAGCTTCAAGGTCCTCTCAACTTCTTCGGCTCCTTTTATCGAACAGTCCAGCAAGCCATGATCTCAGGCGAGCGTCTTCTGGAGCTCTTCAAAATCCAACCAACCGTTGTTGACTCGCCCAATGCTGTTCCCCTAGAAAACTTCACTGGACATGTTCGATGGAAGGATGTGAGCTTTTCCTATGACGCTCGAAGACCTGCTTTGCGTAACATCAGCTTTGAGTGCGCCCCGGGAACTACAACTGCCTTTGTTGGCGAGTCTGGTGGTGGCAAATCTACCCTGTTCCGACACATGTTCCGCTACTATGACTGTGACCAGGGCAGCATTGAGTTCGACGGCAAGAATGTCAAGGATCTCACAATCAACTCGGTTCGCCGCCATATTGGAGTCGTCCCCCAGGACACTACCCTCTTCAACGAGACTCTCATGTACAACCTCAAGTATGCCAACCCTCAAGCCACCGATGAAGAAGTGTTTGCTGCCTGCGAGGCTGCTAGCATTCATGAGCGCATCATGTCATTCCCCGATGGTTACAACACCCAGGTTGGAGAGCGAGGACTCAGACTCAGCGGCGGTGAGAAACAGCGAGTGGCTATTGCCCGTACCATCCTCAAGGATCCTAGAATTATCATGTTGGATGAAGCCACCTCTGCCCTTGACTCGCACACGGAACAAGAGATTCAGAAGAATGTTTGCAGCATCGGTCAGGGACGGACACTGCTCATCATTGCGTAAGTGAATGAATCCATTCATGGGATTTCGGTCAAAAGGTGTTCACGCTAACCACCTTTCTTTCTCCTAGACATCGATTGTCCACCATCACTCATGCTGACCAAATCATCGTGCTCCACGCTGGTACGATTGTTGAAAAAGGAAATCACGAAGACCTTCTCGCTGCCAAGGGTATCTACTACTCCATGTGGCAGAAGCAAGTCACAGCCGAGCGCGCCTTGGATGTCGCTAGAGAAGCTTCCTTGCAAGCCAAACGAGCTATGAGAGCCGCAAACATGGGCGTTAAGAACAAATCAGCAGCCCAGATTGACGGATATGAGAGTCACGGCTCTGCTACTGAACAGCCTCAACTTAGCGGCGAGGCCCATCCTTCAGCATCTTCGTCGGACAACGAGTCGACTCACGAAGAGGAGCGGCCTACCGATCGCAAGTAGATCCGCTTGAGATCTTTCACAAGGCTGGTCACTTTGACCATGCCAAAGTTACTGGTGTACCAAACCACCGAGGTATAGACATGCTACCTCCCTTCTGGGTCTTGCATGCTTCTTACAAGCCATTGCTTTTCTGTTTGTGTTCATTTATGCGTCTGATATCAACTTACTGGCCTATCTCTAGGCTGGTCGCACTTTGTTTTGTTGTTTATTTCATCATCTTTGCGATTTTCCCATCCGGATTCGAAAACGCAGGTCTATTCGCCTTTTCTCCACTTGGCATTCGACAACAAGACGATGCCACCAAAAACTTCACATACTGGACCTAGCATGATGACTGCATCGCATCGGCGTTGGGGGATAGGATTTCTGTTTACCATTTTCTTTTATTCGTCATTTCCATTCACACAGCATAAGAGACTCTGCCTTTTAGCCGGCCAAATTTGATTCTTTCGATCCTTTGACGCCCGGAGAACCGGGTCCTTGTTCCACGTCAACCTTTGCACGCGAGGCATTTCATCACTTGATTGAGTTTAGAGCTTTCAATATGACGATGACGTCTCTTTTATGTTATTCATTTCAAAACCTTTTCATTTGCAACCACTTAGGCAACAAGGCCCGGACCTAGCTGCCAATTTGTTTTGTTTTTTTCAACCCATTTCGTACTGGAATCTACCGCGAACGACCGGACTTAATAATACATCTCTGAATTTCGTCAAGAGACAAGATATAGCCGCAATTACAGGCGGAGACATATAATGTGTGTTGTTTTACCACTGCTTCTTGCATCAGCTCTGCATCTCTTTTGTTTCATCATCTGTCGAGAGCACCCCGAATACATGGAATTCGCCGGTTGCTGTTTGACTATGAAGTATCAAGTTTCAATGTTGAGGCATATGTGAGATCTTTTGACTGGTTACAACATTTTTTTTCACCCGGTTTTTTCTCTCCGAAGAAACCTCTCAGATGTACCCCACGAGGTTGAGAGGACGACGTGTTGACGACAATACTTGCTCCTTTATTTTATTCTTTTTTTTTTTTTTTTTTTTTTTTTTTTTTTTTTTTTTTTTTCGTTTTGGAAGGAAATCTGACTATGGACGCCCAATTGACAAGGACTAAGGGAACTTGACTTGTCTACGGGCAACGACTACATGACCTGGCTTTGTGCTCAGACTGTTCTTTTGTTCGATTTCGAATTACGCCCTCAGGACTGGATGGATATCCGGGATTGGTGATAGGTTCACCGCTTGGGTTTGTGCTTTTTTATTTTATTTTTCGTTTTTTACTGCGTCGGTAACATACACTTTTTGGGACACTTCCTCAGGGAAATCGAGACTATCAACAGTCTCAGGATGAAAAAATATCGGGCACCAGATACGGACATTTCACATTTGCTTAAGAAGTATAGGGCAGCCTCGATAACTTAGGTAGCATGAAAATGAACAGAAAACAATTTTGGTAAAAAATTGTCTTTGTTCTTGAGTGCCATGTGATGTTTGCTTTTGAGGACTTGTAGATGATTGTATGGTAAAGCTGTGCCCACTGATGGTATTGATTATGTAGGTGGATGTGATGCACGCCCGGATCAAGTAGGGAGAACAGATTAACAGTTGTAAAACCATTGTAGAGATACCTAGTAGTGAGAATAAATAAATATTGAATAGTTACAAGGTACTAAGTAATGGTAATATATTAGGCATTGAATGTATTCGCAAGAATAAGCAAAAGAAAGAAGAAGTTCTCCCTCGAGGCGCCCTTGGCCTATGCATGTCTCATTCCATCCGGGGGTTTGTTTGCATTAGAATTCCAACTTTGCAACGTTATCCAAAATCCTAAATTGTTCATCTCATGCTCATCATACTCGCAATCATATCCGTTGATTTTTCTCCAAAGCCCCCCTCCTCCACCAAAAGGAAGAATTGTTCATCGTCAAATTAAAATTAGTATTAAAACCCAAGGCTCTTTTTTTCTTTTCTCGATTTCCCTCATCGTGTTCAAAAAAAGAAGATGATGAACGCCGGTTTCCCCATGCCCTTGCGTTTTGCCTTCCCCCCCACCATACCCAGACAGAGAGATAATTTGCTCTTGCAGGTCTGTCTCCAAGACGTAAAGACAAAAAAAGAAGCATGATTAAAAGCTTGCTCCTCACCCGCTATTCCTATAAATTGCATCTTTTTTTGCAAATCCGCTTGCTTTGTTTGCATAAATCGTACGTCTACTAGCGTTTTCCAACCGATAGCCAGCATTGCCCCCCCTTTTTTTTTGACTGTGGTGTCAAACTCTTAGTGCTTGGTCTCCTTGTCTTCATCGTCCTCATAGTGGACCTCTAGAGAAGGGACGGCCATCTTGCCGTTGTGCTTGCTTGAGGCGGGCTTTTCCACTTCATCGTCTTCATCTTCAGATCGGTCATCAGTCGCCTCCTTATCGCGGATGAATCTGAAGGCGATGCGAAGAATGTAGAAGAGCCAAAACAGGTTCAAGGCTTGAAGAGAGGCAAGCAGAGCAGTGGTGATGTACTGGCTGATCCAGCACTTGTACTGCTGAGTCTCCCAGTTGAGCTCAAATGGGCCAACGGTGCGGAACTCGGTGAAAAGAGACCAGATGATCTTGAGGTTGATGTAGTGGCGCATGTAAATCCAAACGGCGACAAAGGTGGCGAAGTAAGGAGCAACGATGGGATGGTCGATATAGTTGAGGGCCTTGGATGAGGCGAGGAAGAAATCACTAATGTCGTGGGTGATGTAGACGGCGATGCCAATGTAGGTGAAGTGGAAGCGGTAGCTCAGACCAATAAGAGCCAGGCTGACGATGTGGTGACCCACAAGCTCCTTGAAATCCTTGCGCGGCTTCTCCATTCCCAGGAGGAGGACGATGGCCTGCTGCGCCCAGTAGGCAGCCTGGAAGAGATAGTAAAACTTGACGACACCCTCGTGCGAGCGGTGGGGGAAGCCTTCATACATGCCGCGCGTGTTAAAGTACCAGACGGGCGTGCGGCTCATGACATACATGCCAGCAGGTCCCAAGACACCAAAGTAAAGAGCGGTATACATCTGCTCCATGAGACGGGCCTGCTTTCCCTTACTGAGTCCAGTCTTGCGAGCCAATGGGCGCAACACCTCCTGCATGACGAACTCGCGAGTAAAGGACAAGACGATGGTGTAAAAGGCGACAAAGGCAATGTCCCACTTGCCCTTGCCATACTGAACGGGCTTGAGGGGGTCGTCCTGGGGGAGCGGGTACGACAAGAAGAGGAAGTGGTGTAGCGGGTTGGATTCCGATGGGTTGATGGCATAGCCAGTCAGGAAGAGCAGAAGCAGGACGGCGGGCAGGACAAAGGTGTGCTTGACCATGGTCTGGCGAAGCTGCGAAAAGAATCCACGAGTGCGACGGCGCTTGGAAACCTTGGGAGCGCCAGAGGGATCCTCTGAGCCCTCGGACGAGTCGTGCTGTTGAACGGTGGCGGTCAGCTTGATGAAAGCCACGTACAGTGGGAATATCCGCTGGGACGCAATCTCACCTCGGAGTCCTGGGCATTGAGACTGACTCTACTAGAGGCCAGGGCTGGCGCGCCCGTGTCGCCAGCACGAATCTCGCCTCCAAGGCCGCTGCTCTTACGCCTGCGCCTCGCAACATTGACGTCAGCACTGTGCAGCTGGTCTGCCGACGTGTTGAGCAGCGGGAAAGGCTCGACCCCCGCCATCGTGTCGAGCAAAGTGTCTTGGTCGGACCGCTGGTGTCGCTCGAGAATGTCGTCCCGTTGTGGCTGGGCGGCTTGTCGTTGTCGCGAAACGCCGCGAGTGCCTCTGTCACAAGCAAAAAGAGGGGACGAACCGTCGGATGCTAGAAGAAGGAGGAGGATAAAAGGGGACAAAAAGTCGAGCAAGAGTAAAAGCTGCTACTCCAAGTTGGATCGCTGGCCTCTTATTTTCTACCCCTGTCGTCGCGGGGCGCAAGCGCAATTGATTGGTGGTCTTGGGATGAGAGACTCGCGTGGGCTTATCCGCTTGACTTGTCTCACAAACGGGACTAAGAAGCCTCGGTCTAAACCTTGAGAAGAGCAAGTCCAAAAAAATAATAATAGCGGTCTAATTTTTGCATAAGGCGACAGCCGATGGGTCGTCGTGGCAGGTGAAGAATATAAAAGGAGAGGAGGACGCAGGATAGGGACGGCGAGGCCGCTCCAGTCGGGATATTTCGAGATGCCGAGTGAGATTGAGCTGGAGATAGGAGAGGGCAAAAGACTGGTTCGATGACGTCTGCTGTCAGGTCAGGTCAGGTCGGGGTCAGGGGAAGACGCGGGCCATTCACAGGACAACAGAAGATAGCAGAAGAGGAGATGGCAAAGGGAAAAGGTAAAGAGAATTTGGATGGACGGGGAAAATTTTTGGGCGGAGAGCGGCAAAGACAGCTGAGATCAGATCACCCAACGGACAGGTACTGTCTACTGGTGCGCGCTGCTGTTGGTGAGGATGAGGCCAGGTAGAGGGTACAGTGCAGGAGAGGTCTGCCGAGGCAGGCGCATTGTGTGGGATGGGACCAGTGCCGTGCCTGCCTGTACCGAAGTTGGTCGAGACAATCAATTATTATGGAACTTGAATTGCAATAGGTACAGTTCTTAGTCCAGTAGGTACATTATTATATAGGCAGTACTAGGCAGTACCTGATTATTCGATAGAGCCAGCCGCATTGAGTTTCACTCCAGGAGGCTTGATTGTTGCTCTTGAAGGTTCCAATAAGGTTCGTGGATGGCGAAAAGCTATTTTTTTGACAGTTGGACCCTGATTTTGATATTGCGCTTACTATTTCCATTGGCGAATTGGAGTTGAATGGCTTCAATCCGCAGATTTGGTTAGATGGAGCTGTTGTCCCTTCCAAGACTCCATCCCAAGTCTCTGATCAGCTCATTGTTGTTGTGATAGTATGTACTCTATCGCACAATAGATGAACCCCGCAGTTGACATTTGCTGCATCCAAATTACTAGTATGCCATACGATTACAACACTATAATACTACGCTGCTTACATGTAATACTATATCCATGCCCAATCCTCAACTAACTCGATAGTATACTGTACTCGTATATTCGTCTAACTCAGCAATAAGCAGCATCCATTTTGATCCTTTCAGCTGTCTCCTTCACCCAACACGCCCCCTGACAATCCCCGGCCCACCCGCCCCATTTATTCTCTTCTTAGTCCCCTACGGGATACAGGGATGGCCCCTGCTTCCCACCTGTGCCTTATTTTCCTTTGTTCCCTTTAATTAGGTCTTTTTTTCTTCTTCTTAGCGCAACAAGTACCTTTCTATCCGGTACCTACCGTACGACCAGCACGATACATCACATTCTATGCAACAAGAATCGGTGGATTCACGGGAACCCGTTACGCGTATCCCGAATCTCGGAACTTGCAGAAAATCCAGGGTCCGAGGGCACGGCGAAATACGACACGTTGTTGCAAAAAGACGCTCCGTGTGGCGCTCATAGCACGGCGAAAGATGACCCGGATGGTCCGCTTATGTTATACTGTATGTATTATATGCCGTCTTTTTCTGATGGTTTGCTGCTGCGAGGCGGAGTACGGCGCTTGTTGGTTGCGATGAATTCCTGTTCCTCGGGACGGATGACGTAATGCAGCATATGAGAACGTCTCAATTGGCGTCAGTCTCACAAGGCCTCGGGGGTGTTTAAAAATGCTGTGAAGCTGCGGTCCTCGTGGACTCGTAATCGTTCCTAAGGTGGCATCAAGTAATGCTAAAAATGCTGTGAAGCAGGGGCTCCGGGGACAGTTTTAGCCAGCACCCCAAATTCATTATCCAACACCCCAAACTCATGATCTAGCATCCCAAAGTCATTATCCAACACACCCGAATTCACTATCCAGCACCCTGAATTCACTATCCAACACCCTCGCTCGGTACTAACGAGCACGCCCCCGGCAGTTCCCAAGATCTGATCGGGATTCTTGCAGCAGTTCATGATGCGGCTTCGGGCGGTGCTAAAAATGCTGTGAAAGAGTTCTACAGATAACGAGTCCAGGACACCCTCTAGCCGAACCTCCTACCGCTCTAATGCTATAATGTAGTATCGAGTGGTGCTACAAATACATGTACTGTGGAGCATGGAGTCAAGCATTCGATCGAGATTCTTCCAGAACTTCACGGCCTCGGGCGGTGCTAAAAATACCGTAAAAAATACTTAAATTGAATCTCTAGTTTCCCGATTTCATCTACTGTACTCTAGCCTACTGCAAAACTTCACGATGTGGCCTCGGACGGTGCTAAAAATGCTGTGGTCCGGTGCTACTTCAGCCTCTATAGCTCCCGTCACCATAATGTGGCCTCGGGCGGTGCTAAAAATGCTGTGAACCGATCCGATCGTGTTCCTAGATTCATAACGTAGTCTCGGCCGGTACTAAAAATGCTGTGAAGTCTCCAAACTCTCACCGTGATTCTCAACTTCATCTCAGATGAACCCCCAGCAAGTAGTTGTGTACATGTTCGCATATTGACGTGACCCGAAAATACAGTATAGCACTAACATTGCTCTCACAATAATTCTCCATCTAAAAATAGTTCTTCACAAATAACCTCCTAGAACAACTCTCCTCGAAATCCACGGGTATCTCCATCGCCATATCCAGCAACGTTTTATATAGGTACTCATACACCTCTTCCAAATGGATATATTCCACACAATGAAAATGAAACCAAAAATCCTGAACCCGAAAAAAACGCCTCGCTCAAAGACAAGAGTACTTCATACACGCTTCGTAACGGTAAACCCAATCCAAGCCAAGCCACGCACACAACAAAAAAAAAAAAACCTTAGAACGTAGCCCAGAAACTCTATGACGCGCCAGGTTCACCCGGCGGTATTGTGCGTCTGTCTTCTTGCCCAGTATCCGGCTCTGATTCTCGTTCTCGTTCTCTTTCGTGTCCATGCGCGTGCTCGTGCTCCTGGGATATCACGGATGAAGTCTCCGTTACCGAATCGTCATACGAGTAATCGTCGTCGTCATAGAGGTGTCGATTCCGCACCCCCGGCCACAGCGGTGGATTGTTAGGCGGTATGGGTCTCTCGTGCGCTGCAGTATTCGCTCTCGAGTATGCGTCGGGTGCCATGTTATTTCTGCCCCTGACTTCGTACACTTCCTCGGAAGAGCTGCTGCTGCTGGACCCCCGCGCACGCCGTATAGCCGACGCCGCCGAGCTGCTCAGTTCTTCACCTTCCTCCTCAAGAACCTGCTGCAGCGCGGCGCCTCGTCGTGCTGGCGCCGGTATTACCGTCACGGGGAGATTTTCCGTGTCTGTTGTGGGCCGGAGCCTTTCCCGGATCCTTTCTGCTTGGCTCACAGCAAATTCCTCCAGCCTGCTTCGGATATCCCACCGGTTGGTATCGATTCGGGTGTTCAAGGTTGACCGGGCATCTGGCAGTCCTCTAGGCGATGGCAGTGACGATGAGGTTTGGCCACTGCCTCCACGTCGCAGCAGTGCCTGCCAACGGCCGCCGCCTGAGCTAGAATTTGGCTGCAGATCCGCCGGCCTTGGCGGCTCCCGTATCGAAATGTGACCAGATGGGGAATCCCCAGGAGAGATGGAAGTAGGCGACTGGGTTGTCGATAACCCATCTTCCACTGGCCTTGAGGCGTCTCTCGTGGGCTGAATCTGAGCTGCCGCCCCCCAGTCACCTGCTCTCGGCAGACCATCAGAGCCTCCCTGGTACCTCACGGCGTAAACGGTACTGCTGGCAGCACTGGTGGTATCTGTCCTGCTGGCCGGCGTTACGGCTGGGGCAGGTCGCGTGAGCCACACCGGCGGTCTCAAGATATGTCCCGATGTTCTCTCCCCTGCCGTCCCGCCAGTTTCGTTGTTATCATGGCTTTGCACATTGCTGCGCTCTCGTTCACGATGTCGACTGCTAATGACCGGTACACCAGGCCAGCCGTTGCCTTCTCGTGGTCTTTGCTCCCTCTCGGAAACCATCACTCCTCTACCATCATCTCCTCCGCCCACTTTGTATCCTTTTCGCTTTCGAGACCATGGGAGCTCTGACGCGTTAACTTCCAGCGTGTCATCTCCATCAAACACTTCTCTTCCCAGGATTCCGTCCTTCTTCTCTTCGCGTTCCAGTGCTTCGATTCGTTCCACCCATTCCCACACCACCACACTGGCCGCCGCCGCACCAACCCACCGCACATAGTCTCCCCAGCCAGTAAACTCTGGCTTCGAAATATCGAGTATAAAAAAGACGACCGGTATCAGGATGGCGCCCAGCGAGATGCTGGCCACCAGAACCATGTTCTTCATCAGAGGGTGGTAGAAGGCATATCTCTTCTTCATAATTGCGTAATACACAACCCACGCGGCATACAGCACCCCCAGCGCCAGCTGGAATAGGTAACTCAGCGCCGGGATGGGGTGGGCAAAACTCTTGGGCATGGAATTGCCAATACTGTCCGGGTCGGAGTACAAAAAGCTGTTGAGGGCGCTAAAGATGACATCGAGGCTGATGAGGAAGAAGGCCGCCCACATGATGATAATTTTCTCGCGATGGCGTGGGAACAGACGGATCAGCGTCTGCGCCTGTGCAAGCCAGAGAAATGTGTCGGACACAATGCGGATAGCCTTGAGCTCGGTGCTCCCCATGACCTCGTTCTGCAGCACCTTGGCGTTCTGAACGCCCCATATGTACTGGATTTTTGCGATTCGGAATGTGTCTGCTGTGGCTATCGTTAGAGATATCGCGACCGTCAAGGCCGCCAGTTTCTGAAGCCATGGCCGCCCACCAATATTGACGCCTCCCGAGGAGCTGTTGGTGAAGCCGCCAGGCCGACCAAGATAGACAACGCCGCTGTCGAAAAAGGACCGTGGCGTAATGAAGAGCATAATAACGAGCATGTAGGCGGTGACGGTGGTGGCCGCAAGGGCGTAGCAGATGGGAAAGCTCGAGGCGTAAAAGGGGTCTCGGAAATCGGAAAAGTGTGGGCTGTTGTCGTCATCGCCATCGCCCAGGTCCTGCAGATCCAGGCTCGAGCCGTCGCTGGTGGTGGTTTGAGGGTCGCTGACGGCAACGGAGACGGTCGGGATCGTGGCCGTCGGGCACGGCGCCTGGAACAGAGCGTCGTTGTCCAGCGTCAGGATGGCATCGTCCGACTGGCCGTCCAGGGAGAGGATGCCGTTGGCCGGCAGCCACGTGCTGGTGCACAGCGCCATGGACGCCTCGAACGACGACGTAGCCGCGAAGGCCACATTGGCCATGGCCGTTATCGACATGGCCGCTATCGGGATCGGGGAATCGAAAATCAAAATCGAAGAGTGAACGACGTAAGCGATATCAAGAGTCAGCCGGCGAGACGGCGACGACAAGGAGAGGTGCCAGTCGGGGGGTCCTATCGCAGGAGCGCCATGGAATATGCTTGTAGATGTGATGTCGAAAAGCCAGCCCGCAAATGCCTTGTTCTCCTTTTCCGCCTGCTTTCGAACGAAACAAGGCGGAGTAAAACGTCCAGGTAGCCTCCCGAATCTAAGACACGTTGACGGGATGAGTCGACCGACCCGCGAATCGAACGGGACGGAGTCAGCGGCGGCTGCGGCACCGCTATGAAACGTCTCTAGGGAAGCTGAAAATCGAATCGCAGCAGTGGATATTCCGTTGATGTCGGATTTCAGAGTGGCGTGAACAATTCGAGTGGCATATCAATCAGTGGCGGCTGTCCAAAAAAAAAATAGACTTCGTAACAATCGCGAAAAAAATAATAGCCCAGTTTCAGCCCCCGGGCTTCCGTGTGCGCTCAAATCAGGGTTCTCGCAAAAGGTAGACAAACGGTCGCCTCGTTACACCAGCCGGTAGTCGTCAAGGTTGAAGTTGTGAATGTCGGCGATCGATCCGCTAAAGTCGAGACGGGGTGATATGCTCTGGGGGGGGGGGGCGAGAGGAGTTGGTGTTGTTCTTACTGGGACCCTTTCGAGGAGCCATCTCGTGCTCGCAATTTGCACTGTATTGGTGGCGGTACAACGTGGTGCTGTGCCTTTCCTGGAGCGGGGACGGGGCAATGCAAAGCGCCTGGGCCAATGGGACTTCAATGGCGACTCAGGGTGCGGCACACAGTACGGTGTTTTGCTCAGCGACACTGTGTCGTATGTATCGTACCTAGGAAAGTATGAAGTTGTCCGCCACGAGTCCAGGCGGCTTCGCGTCAATTCGCTCTTCGTTCGCCATCTCGTATATGTCGCTCTCTCTGCTGCAGTACAGTACAGGTACATGCGCGGTATTGAACTTCTCCCCTGCATAGGCAGATGCAGCTGCAGATGCAGACACTCGACGTCTTACATCGCGATAAGCCATCCAACAGCCAAAGCATCAAACCGTCCTTAGAGTTCGCCCTCCCACGTGTCTCGGGGAACCGCCCACGCAACAAAAGAGGCAGTCGGAATAAGCCCGCGCGAACTTTTGTTGCCTCTTGTGTGGAGCACCATCAAATAAAGTAGCACAATAAGTTTATCTCAGCTCTATCGGGGGGGACCCCCGGCCATTGCATCTCGCTGCCATCCCCGTCGTGGAATACTATGTAGTTACTACTATCAGCATGAACACCCCCCAAAAACAGAGCCAAGAGACCCTAACAAGGTGCTTGCATATTCCAGACCAAGAAATCTTCGGCGCCCTTAAAGGGGAAGACGCTGAAGCGACGACGAAAAGCCACAGGAGAACCATTGCGTCTTCCCATGTCCGCGCGCCGTCGTCTTGGCAAAGCTTGTCTCCGCTATCCCGCAGTCTTGGCATTGCTCCTCTCTCACCAAAAGTCTCGTGCGGTGCGGCTTCGTCTTGCCTCGCTCCCGGCACATCTTGACTGACCTTCCAGAAACCCGGGATCCGATGCTACCTTACCTTGGCACGCAATAGGCTTAACGGGGAGCGTCCCCTCGCAGCAGGTTTCCTGGGGCGGAACGCATTAGTAGACGCCGAGAGCCATTCAGTTTGGAAATCTCTCCCGTGTATTGCCATTGGTATCAACCCTCCTCAAGCTAGAATACATTCTGTCGAAAACTCGAAATCGACCCCCTCTTGACGCCTCATAATGCTGTCTTATAATTACAGTTCGCTATTATACTCCTTTTGAAAAGCCTCCACGAGCCGATCCCCGGCCAGGCGGATGCATAATAACCTCGTTTACCACGGCCGCCTCAAGCCATTGCCCCCTCCTTTTTTTTCCATCCTGTTTTTGGTTCTTCTCTCTTGAAAGTCGTAACAACGTTTAGCTATATGTATATGGTTGGTATTTTTTTTAGTCTTAGTCTTCGTCTTCATCCTCCTCGATTCCGCGGTACTTCATTTCCAGCACCCATTTGCCGTCAAACTCGATGCCCCTCCGTATCTTGGTGCCAGCTTTCCTCCAGATTGCGCTGCCCAGACCCAAGTCAGCGATGAATAGACGCCACTCATCCTCCTGCGCAATGCTTGTTGATAGGGAGGGGTCATCGTGGAGAGGAGGTGTGACGACTTCCAGAAGCCCCTTCTTGGGTGCTCCAATGGCAACAACGTAGCGTGGTTTGACAAACAAATGGCCTCCATCGATGATGGCAACCTTGCCGCTTGTCGGGTCAATCCCCGAAGGTACATCGACGGCCAGCACAAATGCATCATTCCGATTCGCCCACTCCATCAGCTCGTATACTGACGCCTGGTCGCCCACTCTCAGCTCTTCAAACGACATGGTGAGACCCAGCAGTGCGTCTATGATGAGAGAGATAGATAGACCGCTAGGAGCTGCAGAGCCCTTTCGAAGATACTCGAAAAAGTCGTGCTTGCTCAGTACCTTGCCTCCAAAGTTTCTGTAGAGCTGTATCTGCCGCCTCAAGTCCTCCAACAGGTCGCGTTCACGCTCGATGCCGACCAGACACACAACCACGTCAAAGTTCTTGTTTCGGAGGTGGCGACCAGCAGCCAACGCACGGATGCCCGACTTGTTGTTGCCGGCAAGTATCACTATCGTAGATGAGCGCACCGTGGCCTCGCTGGACGCTCCGGCCACGACCAACTCGAACCGAACCTTCATGGCCGGGTCCGACAAAGCGGTAACCGCTACCTCGGCGATGCCCCTCCCTGCATTTTCAGCCATCAGGGTCTCGCTAAATCCAATCTCGTTGGCAGCAATGTTCTCAATATTGAGCATCTGAAGTGTGGATATCGTCTCCACTCGGCGGTTTGAAGGAATAAGGTAGAGACCGGGCTGGTGTTGCTGCTGTTCGTAGTCGGTGCTGCGGTGCCCGGTTGTGGGGCTTGACCGGCGAGATGCCTGATATCGTAGACTGGAGTTGACCCTACTAAGGGGCTGACCTCCAACCGGGGCAGCAGTGCTCGCCTTGCGAGACTGTGAACGCCGACCTCCAGTCTTGCTATCGGGCCGCTTGCCAGTCTGGCTGCCATTCTTGGGCTCGCGGCCGCTTAATCTCTCTGATCCGTTGGCCCCAACATCTGCCTCGCTGTTCCAGTAGTCGGCATTGGGCGCCGGCGAGGTCGAAGGCATATCCAGGACATTCTCGGAGTAGTGCAGGTTCTTGCCCCCAGCCGTTCCGGGCTTAGGCCGGCGGTTGTGTGCTACAAGGCGGCTTGCATCGTCAATCTGGTCTTCTTTCCTCATCTGATCAAAGATCTTGTGCTTGTCAAACTTGGCCAGGTTGTTTTCGAAGTCGAATTCTCCCATCTCCTCGGTGACATCCTCAGACGCCCATCCGTTGTCCTTGAGGTTCTTTACACCCTTCCCATTTCGCTTGAGGGAACTGAAGGGCTGGAAAGAGGCGGTGCTCTGTAAGATAGGGGTCTGTCGCCAGCCCTTTCCATGTGCCTGGGTCTGAACGGCTACTGGTGCTTCACCTAGATGCTCCTTGTGAGCCTTGGGATGTCGCCGTGCCTTCTTCTTTTGTTGCTGTTGTGCGGAAGCCGGCACCTCCTTGGCGGGTCGAGATTTACTAATGGGCACATCCTTGGGAATGACTACTGGATCTATCTTCAAATCCTTAACCGACGCCACAATAGTATTCTCATCATCGCCTGAGTCGAGCGAATGGCGCCCCACATGTATACCATATAAGACGCCCGGCTGCGCCGTTGCGTCGGTTTCATCGCCTTGCTTTTCAGGAGGGTTCTTCTGTTTGTTCAATGCCGCTGACTTGGGCCGTCTTCCTAGACTCAGAATCGCTGGGTCGACAAAGGCGGGCTGGGTCGGCTGCGTGGGTAGCTGCACCAACGGCTTGCTCGGTGACGGTTGGCTAGGATACGTCGGGGCCGGAGGCTTGGAGTCTGGTCCATCGCAGCTAATCTCTTCGAGATCGGCAATGTTAGAGGCATCGATTCGCATGTGAGGAACCCACTCCCGTGTCGCATTGATGAATACTGTATCAGCGGGTTAGTCTCGTGCACTGCATGTAGTGGTCTTGGAAGCGTAACGAAAGAAAATAAAACAAAATAAAAAGGGGGACGCGCTTACCGTTTGTCAAGGTGAGGCTGCTCCCTGCCTGCACATCACTTACGATGCCTGTGAGCATGTACTCAGCAGGATCCCTCAGCACTACCCGCATCTGCAGGCCAGTGAACTGGCTCGCCATGGTGATATGCAAGTCGGTTGCTCGTCCAATCCTACGTAGTTCAGCGGTGTCGTCTCCCTTATAGTCAAACAGGACAAAGGGAGTGGCAATCTCCGTCTTGCGTGGCCTTTACGTCGTCATCTAGGCCCAAAGCACTGCCCTGGCGAGCCTCACGACAAAGGCTCCCTTTGGGAAGTAACGTCGGATGGTCGCAGAGTGACGGCCCCAATGGAGATTGTTCCGGGCCTGCAGTAATCGACCAGAAGGAAATTCGGACAAAGGAGGAGCGGTGAGCGCTCGATCGGCACTATTTTGTCACGAAGAGCGGCGTAGGCGGAGGGCAGCCTCCGAACAAGTGCTTCGACGTCAGGAGGAATTTGGGACACGCGCGCAGTCGGAGGCGAGTCGGGAAGAGCGAGCGCAGTCGCCGTGGTCGTCGAGACAATTTCAACAGCGGCAAGGGGAGAACGCAAGGGCCGTACTGTAGTGTGCTGCCTCTCCTCCGCCGGCTGGGTAGAGAGACGTGGGAGAGTGCGTGCGAAGAGAGGATGAAGACGAATAAATTTTGGTGGACGATATGGATGCTGGCTGGCAACTTTGCTTTGGCGGCGGAAAGAAAGCGGTTTGGGATGTGGCTGCGCTAGGCTCAAACGGGTTGCCGAGCATCGAGAAGAGCCCTTGCGCGTCTTGATATGGCCAAAGGCGCTGTAGCAGCCTGTCGGAAGCCCCCTGCAGCGCCTACGGGGAATCGTGCTGTGGCCGTCAAGTCAGCGCCTGGATCTTACCCAGCCAGCCACTAACCTGGTCCGAGCACCTGCAGGCACGCCCTCTAGTAGCGGCTGTCACACCTGAGAGTTCCAATGACTGTTCCAGATGCCATCATATCGCCCGTAAGCTCTCTTACTAAGTTGATCGATGCTACCACACCCTACATAATACAACCTAACCTAGTACTACTCACACTCCCGAGTATCCCCGGACAGCTCTGGCTTCTCTTTCTCTGCAGAAGAGCCTTGTTTCGCTGCGTTGCTGATTTATTCAAAGATGGGTCATAATTGATCACTGTTTATAGTGAATACGCGATCGTGAACACAGAAACAGAGTAAGCACAGCAGAGCATGGCCAGGCTTTCTTTTACGTGTACTGTGTCGATTCACTGCATCCTTTCCCCGGCCATGTCATCCCATCAACTCGTGGGGCCTATGCGGGATGCCCTTGCGAGGTCCCTTATTACTCCAGTGTAATACTCCGTCGACAGCGACGACTAAGTGATTCACATTCCCCCTGTCTCTCAACACTTTTTACGGGTCAGGTGGATGTGTTGGGTCTCTAACAATGTCCCTCAAGTACGAGTATCCATACGAGTACACCCGCGCCCAACGACCCCAGCACATGTAAGGCATGTCTCAGACTTTGCTGCACCTGACAGCATCTCTCGGGATGAATAGGCTTGAGGCTTGGGTTTGGGTGTTGCAATTTCATATCAAGCCGAACCTTTATTTTTCATCAAGGTGGTCAGGAACCCCCGCCCAAAAACAGAGTTCTGCATTGCATAGCCTAGGTCTGGTGGTGACGCCGCATTGCAGCTGTCCCTCACTCCCGTATCTAGATATTCATGAGGGGAATCATATAATAAAAATGATGTGGTGGTAATACAAATACTTTCATAGATGACACTGATCTACAACCTCGACATGAGAAACCAAGGGGGGGCCGCTAATATGCCATTGCACGCTCTTCTTCCGAGTCCAGGTCAATAACCTCTCGAACCGCAGTATTTGCAACACCTTTTCGATTTGCGACCAAATCCGCAATCGACTGTGGCCTTTTCGCCGCTGCTTCCTCGGCGCTGTACAGCTGCCTGTAGAAATTAATGACGCGGGGATGGGCCATGACCTTGGTCTTGTCAAAGCCCAAGACTCTCAGCCCCTCCTGGCTTGTGGCACGGCTGAGTGCGACATAAGCTTGCCCCTTTTCAAACACCCGTCCCAGATTGACGGTTACTCTCTCAAGGGTCTGGCCCTGGGCCTTGTGGATGGACAAGGCCCACGCGAGGATCAAGGGGAGCTGGACTCTCTTGGCTTGAACCTCTCCGTTGGGAAGCTCCACCTTCCACTCCTCTGGCTGGCAGAGGATTACTCGCGCGACGCCATCTGTTGAAATGAAGCGAACGACAGGAAATTTCATGCCCGACCCGTCCGGTTCCGGCTCGCGGCTGAAGGCCTTCAATTTCCTGCGCGCCTTCGCCATGGCGTCATCCATAGCCGAGTCGTAGTCTTCCATGTTGGTCATGTCGAATGCCCTCTCGTCAGAGAAGGCAATCACTGTACCAAGTGATCCATTCACCAAGGACCCATCCAAGTTCTTGATGAGCATGACTTGGGAATTCATCTTGAGTTCGATGGACTTTGGCGCCATCATGTTTGCTAGTAACTTGTCTCGGATGTTGACATCTCCCGTGTCTATCGCATCATATCGATTTGCTTTTCCGGGCAAGTCTCTCAGCCGTCTCTCATTGGACCCATCAACCTGTGCTCGTGTAGGGAAGAGCTCGGCCGACTCCACGCCATCGTTGAACTCAAGTGGCCGTGAAAGCTTTTTGAAAGTGTCCACTGTGTCTTGGCTGATTTGTCCCAGTCGCATCTCGTTCAGCATGGCGGCGAATTTGGGATCACGCTGACGAAAAACCTGTGTGAGACCAATGGTGTGGTCTATTGATGTGCTCCAAGTAGCAGCATCAAAGGCAAACTTGACTTCACGCTTCTTGTCTCCATCAGGTACAGGCGGGAGCTGGAAGAAATCGCCTGTGATGATGAGCTGGATGCCGCCCCAAGGCCGGCCGTTGTTGCGGATGGTTCTTCCGATCTGTGACAACTTGTCAAACAAATCTCCATCCACCATGGATACCTCATCAATGATGAGGCATTTGGTACGAAGCCATCTGTTTTTGGCTTTAGGGTTCCTTCTAATTTTGCGCACAAGAGTAGGTGCATCTTCTTTTCCAAGGCCAATACCTATCCTCAAAAGATTAGTTACGTTGCGTCTCTGAATAACCATCAACCGACGAGCATTGGGCCTGCGGCAAGGTCAACATATGGCCTACCCGAGAAGCTGTGAAGCGTAATTCCTCCAATGTTACAAGCTGCAAGGCCAGTCGAGGCCGTCACAGCCACCCGCTCGCGATCCCGGGCATATTTAGTTCTCAGCTGGTTGATGATGGCTCTCATCAAGACGGATTTTCCCGTTCCTGCTGGTCCCGTGAAAAACACACTTTTCCCCTGGTTCACCACTAGGTCAAGCACATGCTCCTGCTCCTTACTCAGATGGATGGCATCGCCCTTGGAGGCATCGTGGGATTTTCCAAACTCGGGCGTCTGTTCGTCCACACCACGGGATTCTGACCGGGTTGTCTGTTGATTTTTGAACTGTTTCTTCTGCTCGTTAATGGTATTGACGGAAGCCTCCCACATGCGCGCTGGCCGTGTGGGTGGGGCGATCGCAGCAGCAGGAGCATCTTGGCTTTGCCTCTGTACGGGTTCTAAGCGGAAACTCGATGGCAACACTCGCTTTTTCTTTTGTGCGGGCAACCCCGACAGCTCACTCTCTCCGGACGAATCACGCTTCAGGGAAGCCGCTGCCCTTTGGGGTTGAGGGGGGAAGTAATGTGACGTGGGAGAAGAAGACCAGTCGATTACTTGAGTCGCCGGCGGGGGTGCAGCGGAAGAGGGAGGGAGAATATCTTCTTCTATCGGCTTTGGTTTTGGGTCGGGGAGAACGGGAAGCGAAGAGGGGGCCTTGTAATCGAGATCGAGGTCCGCATCGTCGCTGAAATCATCTTCTTCAAAATAAACTTCTTGGAACTTTGTGTTTGTGTCGGGACCAGTAAGGTCAACAACATCCATGTCGTGCTTGAACGGGTCCGAATTGCTGTAGAGAGTCGCCAACGCTCCCGTGGCAGCACTGCTTGGGTTTGTCGTAGGCCGTTGCTGCTGCACGAGGCCCGATGATCGGTCTTGCAGAGGTTTCGAAAACGGAGCCGTCCTCGCCGACGAAGCAGAAGCGGAAGCGGAAGCGGAAGCAGAAGCAGAAGCAGAGGCGCTGCTGGCGTTGGCAACGGACTTCTTCAACTGGTCTCGAATGTCGGTCACGGGAGCCGCCGGGCTGCTGGACGGGAACAGCTGCTTGGACAGGGCAGTGCGACCGGGGGGCTCGTTGGCCTTGAAAGCCTTGTTAGCCTTTGCAAACATGGAGTCGAGAGACGGGCGAGTCGAGTGAACATGGGCGAGCTGCGCTGCTCTTCGAAGGCTCCGCGAGGTCGGCGAGGGTCGAACCGCGAGGTTGAAGATCATATACAGGCGCCTGGGGAAAGGCAGGGCCTGGAGGAATAGCAGTGCCGAGCCAATACCATCAATCAGTTTCTGCCTGGATAGGGTAGCTTGTCAGATCGAGATGCCGGCTAGTACATATTGATTGGAGGCGCGTCTCTAGCCCGTGCAATCAATCAACGCGCTGAACTGCTCGCGTATCCATGCAAGCTTCGCTTTATTTTGTTTGTACATGGTATGCTTAGTCATCCGATTTTTCTACCACTTTACAGATACTGCTGCATGCTCTTTAGCATCTACATATTACTTTAACAAGTACACAGAGATGCAGAACGATAGATAGCAATTTTCTATACTTCATTAATTTTGTCAATAAGCTACGAGGTATCTAACCAGGTTGTGTCACATACGCTTGCAAAGGCCAGGGGGCTTAGACGGTGCCTGGCTAACATACAAGCTCTGCCGATAGAACATTTGCGTCATACATGTACCTGACTTAACCTGTAGTGTCGCTTCTGGACAACAAATATAGTGTAAGGAGTCGCTTGCATCCCAATATCACAGTAAGTTGGAAGATTTGATACTCGAATGTATATATATGTATGTATAATAAAAAAGAAGTGGCCGTGCCTGGAAGAATCAGAAACCGGTTTTAATACCATTGCTAATAACAGTAAGTCGGTAGAAATTACTACTGGAGGGAAAAGTACGTAGCAATAACCTCTCCGTCTCTAAAACAAATTCAAGCTATCATATACTTGCAAGGGATGATTGTCTCCCCCCCCCAAAGAGCTAGAAATATCTTGGTATAATTTTTTTTTATTTAACTATACAATTTGCAGATGCGACCAGTTTCCACCTCGATGACAATTTAGCTGCCAAAGAACTAGTATCAAGCGACCCAAGCAATGAACTATTCACTCTGAAACGAAGCCAAGACAAAAGCAAAATGTCAAACAGCAAGAAAGTACATCATCTCTCATATCTTGCATGAGTCGTCGACCTCCGCTGACTCTCTCCATTCCGCACAGGGCTGCTGCCACCCAGATCCCACGCATCTTGATCTGTACGCTTTCTCTCAGCCATATATCGCTGAGCATCTTGCCTTCTCCATGGACCGCGGCTCGACCCAGGCACCATAATCTCATCATCGGAATCATCGCGGTATCGCCTTGGTGGTTCTCTGTACTCGTAGTGGATTGCTGGGTCGCGTGCCAGCTCTGGGCGATTCCGGGGATCATCTGCTAGTGATGTGCGGCTGAGTCTATCCCCCAATCGATCCATGTCTTGACCACCTAAAGAATATCGAGATGTGTGATAAGTGGGAGATCTCTGGCTCGCTGGCGGATCCTGTATGATTTGAGGCTGGCGTGCTGAGCTCATGTTTCCTATAGTCGTGGATCTTGCCATTACAGGTGCGTCCATGACCCCTTCGCGGTATCCCCTTTGCTCTATGTGCCTCAACATATCTGCTTCTGGCACTGCTTTGATAGGATCAGGCGCTGGAGGAGGAATGCCGATAAATCTGTCGGCTGGATTATGCGGTCTCTGACGGCGGGCTACTTCCAGCGCAGCTGATTCGCCTCCATTATGATGTTCGCGATACCTGCTTCGGCCTCTTCGCCCTTCGTGATGAGGGTGAGTGTGGTCGACAGATGAGTTTGGCGTCATGTTGGTATCGGAGTCTTCGCCAGAGAGAGAGCTGAATGAAGTGACGGAGCTTCGGGATTTATGCGACTCTGCTGTAGCTTGGCGCTCCATTCTAGGTGCGTTTGATTGAATCCTGCGATTCTGTGCTTCGATGGCTTGAGAGATGTTGCTCTGCGGATTCGCTGGAAGAGACGGAGGGGGAATGCGGGCTGGTAGTGATGATAGTGGTGGCTGAGATGTAGGAGAAGATCCGTTCGGATAAGTGGCCATGATGTTTGGAGGCTGGTTCAATGGGAAGCGACATTGAACTTGAGGCTCAAACGCAAGCTGGCGAGTCTGAAACTGTGGCAGAGAATGGGCGGGATTATACTGAGCAGGCCGTTGTAGAGGAGGCTGATCAGGGATCGCCATAGGCAGATGCTCATTGAGAGGCAGGCTCCTGCTTCCATGTTCTCGTCTCTCCGTCTGCTGGGCCTTCAGCATCCTCACACAGTTTTCATTGCGAGCTGGTGCTCTCCTGAAATACGCCGTCACTGATACTCGTTCTTTCTTTGGCTTGGATCTTGACGGCGATCTTTTGGACCTATGTCTCTCTTTGCTCCTCTTCTTATCCTTGCTTCTTCTGTCATGCTTCCTATCATGTCCCCTAGAACTCTCGATTCTCTTGAGCTTCCAGTCCAGCTGAGCAAGCGTGTAAATAAATCGGGGATCTGATTCCATGTCCTCCAAGTTATTCCACGCATGGTCCAACTGCCTCTGGATCGCTGACGAAAGCTCATTCTTTTTGTCCGTCACAGAGCCGGTTTCCTTGTCTAGCTGACGGACTTTGCGTCTTGCCTCTTCTTGGGAGATGTCTCTCTGCACCGTGTGCGTTGCCTTCTCCCAAGTTGGAGGCACAGGGTTACCTTCGTCGTCGATGTCGTATGGGTCGGTCGATTTCTCCATACGAACGACAATGAGAGAGGAGAGGCGCTTGCGGGCTTCTGCCTCGGTCATGTTCTCGTCGCGGATGTCAAACACGTCGATGTTTCGCCGCGACCGAGGCTCAGGAATTGGCTGATGCATGGTGCGAGCATTGTGTGGTGGGCTGTAGTGTGATGAAGGATGAGGAGGCATCATGGACTGGCTTGGAGGAGGCATTCGTCCAAAGTCTCGCTCTCCTGTTTGATGGACTGGTGGTTGGTGGGAGGGTTGATGTGATTCAGGGCGGCGAGACTGTCCAGCTCGTTGATTGCTGCTGAGCTGGATAACCCCTGCAGGCAAGCCCGAGGTCATACTTAAACGAGTTCTCAAAAATGACTTGATTTATAGAATTTGATGATGGCTTGATAATGAAAGAGAGGGGAGGCTAGACGATGCAGATAGATATTGAAGGTATGTCCCGATATATATACCCCGAGCTATCTCTACGTCTACGTCCAATCTCGAAGCTAGAGATGACAGAATCAACTATCCAAAAGTGAGGCGAAACACTAGATATGAACCTGCGAAATCGGTCTACCGAGCATGAATTCATGTGGCATGTCGCAATTCCGCAGACAGTGAGAGTGAGGCGAGAGCTGCCAGCTACACACTAGATATGCATACTTGTCCCGAGTTGGTGCACTTGTATGCATCGTGCATGTACACTTCACATGCCGTCGCTGGTTGCTTTCGGTGAACGAGATGGATTTGGTTCGGAATCCTCCGTGCGGGGGATGTTGTGCATAAGGATGCGGCCAGGTACGTGGATGTGACAAGCGATCTCGCGATTCTAGCCGCATCTGTACCTTGAAGGAATCGCAGCAGCCTCACAAAAGATGAAACTCGGAGGTTCTCATCATGTACCCCACGCTTGCGTTTCTGGTGTACGTGTTGCCAGCACCCTTTTGGCCCTTTTGTCCGAGCGGAAAACGTGTAAGAGTAACACTCGCGCGCCTCACATCTGCTGCAAGATATCATCATCAATGAGACAATCAATCTGCAGTGATCCCTGCATCAACAGCGCGCGCCTCATCATCCCCTCCATCGACTCGACGCACCACATGAAACCCCTTTGATCTGTCAGCTCCAGCGAGGTAACCAGCCGCCTCACCGTCCGCTCGATCGAGACGGAATGCCGCTTGTTTGCGTTGTAAATGCCGTGAGTCTCGAATGCCTTGCACGCTTGCGAAGCCTCACTGTGCAAAACGCCTCGTGGCTTTTGAAACCATTCCACACCATTTAAATTGCATCCTGCATGCGTGGGGGCGACGCGTCCATGTTTCTAAAAGGGCTTCCCATCCAATCCAATATGTCAAATCCCACCGTTTGCAACACGATGAAGCTATCCAGTAGCAAGTGCTGGCGACTATATGTATTCCGTGCCATTGTGTAGCACCACGTTCTCAAGCGGAGGCCCAAACTGCCACCACCACGTTACACCAGGAGAGCTTGATGCTCTGTACAAGCATGTACATAGACTTGACCTTGACGGCTAAACTGATTCTCGTGCCACGTTGGCTCTTGGGATCATCTACGCAGCGCCAGTAGGAGCGTATTATGACAGGACGCGCTCATCGATTCGATCGGAGGCATGGCTGTAATTCGATGAGCAATCTTGCAAGCCTCTTTGACGTGGCAATCTGTGGATGGTGATACGCAAGGCAAGCAAAACGCCAAGGCGCTTTGCTTTTGGTTGCCTCTCGCACACATCTTTATCGGCCAATCTATTCCATCTGCGAGCATCAGCCCAAAAGGGTCCTGACAAATAGTATAGAGCACTGTGATAGAATCAACTTGTTTACGCCTCACCGCTAGATCAGATACCGCACTGTGAGCTTCACTGAGGTGTGAGGGATTTTCCCATCACCTTGAAATCACCAGATCAATCGTAGAAAGCTGTACTCTGCCTCGCACATCTGCCTTTCCTGATTGCAGACCGCCTTGTAATGGAGCACCCAATCTCTCAACTTCGGTGCGCACTGCAGATCGGGACAGTAGGTAAAGGTAGCCAAAGCCAAAACAGGCGGTCATCATCGGACCGTGAAATTCATGTACCTGCAAGCCCCTTTGCTTGCTAAATCGAGGTTGTTCAAGTGACTCTATCACGCCTCATGTACCGTCTGGCCCCCTCCAAGCCTTCTATCAATGCCAAACCAATGTATTTAAGTAAATCTGAGCAAAAACATCCAATTACTGCCCCTTAGGCCAAATATGTGTAAGAGTTTTCTTCTCTCTCGAGATAATCCTTCTCAATCAGACTATTATGAAAGTTAGCTTATCTGGTTGTCACCCTCTTAATTGTTTCTTAAGCTTACCTCTCGATTTCCTTCTTGATGGCGGCCGGCTCGACACTGCCTCTCTGCTTGGTCAAATTGATAACTTCAGCCACTAGCTCTGCGTGGCCCATTGTCTTACGGCTCTTCATGATACGCACGATGGCTGCCTGCGTTTCAAATCGCCTATCCTGTGCAATCTTTTCGTGTGTAGCCTTGTTTTCTTCCTTGGTCTCCTTCAGCTGGATCTGGTTGATCTTGACACGATATTTGGGGTCGGTAAAAGCCTTGTTAAAGGTAAACGTGTCCGTAGGATTCACATCGCGCCCCTTAGGATGCTTTGTCAATACACGCGCCTTTCCACAGGCCAATGACTGAAGTGTTCGGTCCAAATCACCCCCCTGGAGGCCGGTGGCGGCTGATATTTGCTCATATGCCAAGAACCCATCTGCAGCCACATCGTTGAAGAGCAGGAGTACGGCAGCCTGGAAAGCCGACACGAGCAGCTCCTTTGCTCCCTTGGGAAAGGTTGCCTTGATGGCACAGTGCGCGAGAGAGTGCTTCCATGTCAAGACTCGGCCCGTGTGCTTGTTCTTGTAGTGCTTATCAAACTGGTCGATGCGTGTGGCCACCTCCTCGGGCAGATTGAGCCTGACATCGGGGTACGTTGGCCAGGCGGCAGCAGACAGGATCATAACCTGCAGATCCACCTTGCCAATGCGGTCGGGACTACCCTGGCACCACTCCTTGTAGCCCTCCATCTCATCTTTGGCGAGTTCCTGATCTTTAAACATTTGCTCTAGATTATGTGTGAAGTTTGAGCCGCACTCGCCTCTCAGTTTAGTGAGCATGTTGCGTTCCGCATCTTGACTAGCGCTACGACCCATGAGAAGGCGGCGAGCCAGGTCTTTCTTGTAAAAGGCCTCAAAGGCATCCTTGCCTTCGATGAATCGGAACAGCTCGAGAGCCTGGTCTAGCTGCCTATCGAGTTCAGCGTCTTCGTCGGCGCTACTAGCATGTCCCGCTTTCTCTGCTGCAGCTCGATCCTTGACATCGGAAAGAAGCTCCTTAGGGAGAGCCCTGATACCGCCACGAAGTAGCATGTCAATGTGTTTTGCCGTCATCTCGCCTATCTTGGATGTGCCCGATGACCAGCAGTCGGCAGTCTTCCGGTCGTTCATAAACTTGCCAAATGCCTCGCGCATTCCCCAAAGGAAATCTTCATCCTTGTTGAAGGCATCGCGCACTGTCAGGTCCAGTGCTCGCCGCAGGTCCAAGAGGCGAAGCACCATCTCGTCTCCTCGTTCCTTGTCAGATACAATCGAAGCCCCGGTTTCCCGGATGTAGTCGCCCCATGGCGTCTTCAATTTCTTTTGTATGCCCGACAATCTAAGAAGGTCATACAACCCCTTGAGGGACTTTATGTCTCGATCGGTCAATAGATTGGACAAGCTACCCCCATGAAGCAACTTCTCGGAATATTGGTCGATAAGAATATTATGCGCTAGCGTCATTGATTGCCTTTGTGTTGTGCTGTCCAAGTTGTATGTCATGCATCGGCGATCTTCGAGCTCCAAGAGGCGCTCGCATTTCTCAATGTATTCTTTCAAACTCAGAGGGCTGCAAGTCTCGCCAAACTCTTTGAAATACGCCTCAGAGTGCTGCAGGTAGACGGGTTCAAACTGCTTTGTGTATACTCCCAGCACATACAGCATCATGAGGGAATCCTTGAGCAGTTCGGGCTCCCTCCGGCTATCATTTCGGCGATCGAAGTTGATCAACTCACAAATTGCCAAGACGATGTCCGCTCCAATGGCCGGACTTGGACTTGTTGGTTGGAGAGTTGGCGCTGGGAAAGCCATTCTGCAGAAGCGCGTAATAGCCAAGTCGTTTATTGATGACAGGGATTTGAGGAGCAGATATGTACGGTCAAGGTAGCTGAAAGTCGATCTGATGAGGATCTAAACGCCGAGTGAGCTCCATGTTGCGACATACGGGCCAAATGCGAAGGGTCTAAACATACCGTTTGGGAATTCCACGTCTTCCATTCTGCCAGAGTCCTCCTCAGGACTTCGAGGCTGGAGACATTAGCCGCACTCTGTATCCTGGGAAGGATAACGTTCTTCAAGTGCTTATCAACTTTGTCCTTAAGCGTCCGATACACCTTGTCGCCGTTGTCACTGCGGCACATGTCCTCGACACCGCGGTAGAGACGCTCCAGCGGAATAGCCGGGCTCTGGTTGCTGAAGATTGCGTCGAGTGCTTCCTCGAGCTCCCTCTCCGTCCGTGCATAGTACTCTTGAATCCGCGCTTCGTGGTTGATGGGGCTGCGCAGATTCTTGATGATCAGCTTCCGCGCTCCGCCAAGCGGCTGAAAGGCCGACTGGCGCTTCGTGAGGTCGATGACCTCGGGCATCTTGCCCCTCGCTTTGGCACTGGCCATGGTCGAGCTGTCGGAGAACCTGGGCCTCTTGGCTGCTGACGGTGAAGACGACGACGACGAGGATAGGCGTGGACGGCGGCGTGAGGGGGAGGTCGGTTCAATAGTCGCTGGTTGCATGAACGTTGATTGGCACAGGCAACTCGGCGCAAGAGGCACTTCTGTCTTGACAGATCGGGAGACGGGCCGGGATCGGTGGCACGGGAGACTCGATGATCGGGAGACGAGACGGGCTAGTCGGGAGGTTGTTTGTCTTTGCTAGCAGATGCCGTAATCTTTAGCACTGGGACTCTGGACTGGCGGTTTTGGGTCGAAGTTTGGGAGCTTGGGTTATTATGTCATGATGGATGGAGGGAGGAGTTTGGGCGGCAAGGCGGGACCCCGCGATAAGGAAATTCTCGATTACAGGGGCTTTGGCGAGTGTTTTTGGCGCTAGCAACGCGCTACAGAGCCTCTAAACGCGCTACAGAACCCTTCAAATTCGATCGTAGCGCTCCTCGTTTAGCACTGACGCGCATCTGGAGTGACGTCGATGACCATATCCATTGATACCCAATCCATTCATCATCACAAGGATGGCCTTTATGTCGACACCTTGATATACAAATTTGAACTCTCATGATGACCTATGCTGCCTATTTCTAACCTTGCCGGTTTCTTGAATTTCCTCTCTACATGAATCTCAACTCAACTCAGCCATGGCAGGGTCCAGGGCAGATCGTGACAAGGAAGAGCCCTACTCTTTACCAATCTCCAGGCAATCCTCAAGATATCGCCCAAGTGCTTCAGGAGTAACAGACGTCAAGATACTCGCATCTACACCAGCCCGTTCAAGAGCACGCACCGTATTATCAACACTGAAGTGCGCCATTCCTTCGTACAGCTCCCATCGCTTCTTATGGCTAAGCACCTCCTCCTCCAGTACCGGGAGTAAAGGAAATAGCCTCAGGGGCGTGTTGCTTTGGGCATCCTTGAGTTCCTTTATCCAATCAGCATATGGTATGCCTTTCATTTCAATGTCACAGAGATTCCCAGTCAACTTGAAAAGGTCGTTCATGTCAATCGATTTCCCGACGTCTGGCGTGATGTGATATGCATGACCTAGATTCTGGTCCGACGTTGATATGGCCTTGAGAATTGTTGCCACGTCATCTACCGCCATGACTTCTTTTCGTTGATTGGGTAGTAAAGGGTAAGATTGAAGCTTTGCGCAGTCTGAGAGAAGCCGGCCCATGAAGTCGTCTGGATTTCCCATCCCATTGGTGCTGCTGCATAAGACAAAACCCAGACGATAAATCGCCGCAGGGAATCCTTTCCGCATCAAGCGAGACACCATCTCGTCTGCCACCCATTGACTCTGCCCGTAGCCATTCTCATATTGTAGAGCTGGCTCGAGGTAAGGCTCTAGCGACTGGTCCTCGCCAAGCAGGCCATCTTCTACCATCAATCCAGTTGGGCCAAAGGCGGATATGCTGGAGATGTAGTGGAACGGTTTCAGATGCCCATCAATGGCGAATTTGAGCAAGTGATAGGTTCCTAAGACATTGGACTTAACATGGCTCGAATACGGCTGAGTATAGTCGACATGTGCTCCAAGATGATAAATGACATCCGTCCGATCCACCAAGCTGTTGTAGACACTCGTCTTGAGACTGAGCATGGGTTGGCTAAAGTCGCCAGCTACCACCTCAATCTGAGACTTGATCGGCTCAACAAAAGAAAGGCCATACCGTTTGAAGTTATCCAAGAGCCGTTTCAAAGCCTGATCGTCCGTAGCAGCTCGCACGAGACAGCGCACTTTACCGATTTCTGGTGAGTTCAACAGTTCCTGTAGGAGAAAAGGCCCTATGAATCCGGTAGCGCCAGTAAGAAGCACATCGCGTCTATCTTTTCGTTGCGGAGCTGTGCTGGATAGGAATTCGATCTTGTCGCTGAACAGCTTTGCATCTTCCTCCATCCTGACTGTCACTGGCTTGACATCAACCAGCCTTTGACCATGTTGAGCTTCTTCAATAACCAAAGCCTGGTCCTTGAGCAGTGGATTCTCATAGACTTGATCAGTTCGAAGAGCAACATTGAAAGTCTGCTGGATATATCCCAGCAATGCCGTGACACCAAGAGATGTCCCGCCAAGCAGAAAGAAGCTGCTTGCTTTATTTATGGCCTCCATCGGAACGGCGATGAGAATCTGAGCCCAGAGTTGTTTTAGACACTTCTCTATTTTGCTGAGTCCTTGGAAATCTGGTGTGTTGGCAGCTAGGATATACTCATGGCGCTTTTGAAGCCCCTGTTCTAACAAATCCGATGTCTTTTTGTGGTCGATTTTCCCATTGTTGTTGAGTGGCAGCTGCCTAAATTCAACGAGTTCTGGAACCATGTATTTAGGAAGCCTCCTCTTTGCTTCTATGAGAAGGGTATCAAAATCTCTTTGACCTTTTTTATAGACAACACAGGCTATAAGATGGTTAGCATTTGAGACGGAGCTTGAGTGTTTCATGACTGTGACGTTATCAATCAAGTTTGTTTGCATCAGCTCCATCTCAATCATGTCTAATTGTACACGGTGGCCGTTGATTTTGATCTCCCGGTTCTTGCGCCCTGCCCAGCACTTATAATCCTCGTGTACGTCGATCTTGTCGCGTGTACGGTATAGTCGAATACATCTATTTGGATTGTGAGGACGATTCATGGTAATGAAGGACTCAGATGTTTTATTCTCATCAAAGAGATAGCCAGGGGATAAGCCAGGTCCGCCAAGCCAGAGCTCTCCCGACCCCGAACCAGTGACGAGTTTCCCTTGTTCGTCTATGATGTAGGCATCCGTCTGATATACAGGCCTTCCAAGAGGCATGCGGCCCAGAGCAATATCCTGTTGTGTTATAATGTGCCAGAAGGCAACAATAGAGCACTCAGTTGGTCCATATCCATTGACGAGTTGTTTTGGCGCCCCCTCCTGTAAGACACTTTTGCATGCGCCAATACTGGGCAGCTCTCCGGCTATAATAAGAGTGTGCATTTTCGAGAATGCACTTGGGTAAAAGTTGGCCATTTTAATAAAGAGACCTGACGTAATTACCATAGTTGTAACACCTTTTTCTGCCAACGTCCTCGCAAATGGTCCAGGGTTCAGGAGCTCCCGCCGGTCTACCACATCGATAGTAGCACCAAGGAGTAAAGCAACCCATATATCAATTAGTGAAGCATCAAAGCTGGAGCTATTGATATGCCCAAACCTCTCTCCAATGGCTGTCGGACGCCCCCAGATTTCATCTTGAGCTACTCTCAGGATGCCACAGCCAAGTACCTGGATTGCCTTGGGCACCCCAGTAGTGCCCGATGAGAACATGATGTGTGATCGAAAGTCAGAAGGGGTATCCCTCGGTAAAGTGAGATGTGCTGGATTAATCCCCATAGAAGACTGAAAGATGCGGTCCGTGGAAATATTCGCCTCAAATATTGTGCCTTGAAATTGAAGGCGGTTTTTGTTCAAGCTATCAACAACCAGGTACTGGGGTTTGGCGAATGTAATACGTGCTTGGAGATCTGCCTCAGAAAGAGTTGCATCTAATGGAAGGCAAGTCCCCCCTGCGTAAATAATGGCCAGTTGGGCAATGATATGTTCAATGCCATGCTCAGTAAGAATTCCGACAATGTCTTCATAGACAATGCCAGATTCAACCATCTCACGACCAAGCAATTGTGCCATGAGATGGAGATCTTTATAGGTTATGGTGGCTTCATCAGAGATGATGGCTATCTCATCCGGCATGCTGCAGCTCATGGCAGCAACAAGCGGGCCAATGCCTTCCATGGTCATGAGTATGATGAATAAAAAATGGTTCAAGGAGAGGCTGAAGATATTTGAGCGTTATATAAAGTAAACAATTTGCTACGCAAGAGTATTGCTCGTCATTTTGTAAAAGACCAGACACCACTTTATATAAATACATAGAGAATGATAACCAGATGCGTTATAATACTTTCCCAAGGTAAGGGCATGAAAATATCACCAAACGCAAAGAGGAAAGCTCCAGGCGTTTATCACAGAAACGGGAGCCTCGTCAGCATGCTAAGAAGGTTGTCTCCACAATATAAACATGAAATTTATTTCAGCCACTTGTCGTGGGGGTTTTATTACAAGCTGTGAGAGATGGCCCAGCAAGGAGTACGATCAAAGCTGAAGTCGAATCGAGATGATGCCACCGATGGAATCGAGAACTCAGTTGATCGGATCCAGTTGTGGGTATGAAGACGAATTTCTGCGACACAGCTGCGCCCAAATGTAATAATCAAAATGATTGATCACAAAAAATTCTGCAAGACTGGAAGAAGTGTGTCTGGTGACATGGAATGAGGCTAGCTGAATGATACAATATTCCGGCTGGAGTGCAACATTCCAAATAGCGCAGCCTTGCGTTTTGTCCGAGATCAAAGTGCTACACAACAGGCTTGTGCTGTAAGATCTGCTCCTTATTATTGAGCTATTGTATGAGAACAGATGACCGTTCTTGATATCGATGTTATGCCGCCTGGTGATCAATTTATATCGTATCTTCAATGCGCTCATCTCAATTCCCATAATTACTCGCTATATTAGATCATATCTCGTATAGAGTATTGTACAACCTCAGCATCCTCTATGTCATATTATTGCCTTGCCATTAGCTCGTGTCAGGAGACATAACTATTTTCTCATGCATATGCAGCCCACCCTGTAAAGCCAAGTTAGTATACCCAACAACCTGTAGAATAAAAAAAAAAAAAAAAAAAAAAAGCCCTCAGCATTACGTACCAGAATACAACACCGCAAGATTTCGCTCATCAGTTGCCTGGTTGATAAGATCATTGACCGTGGCCGTCACACTCAGCGTCTTCGAAAGCTTCTTCCTCACAACCTCCAAGGCTCGGTCGCCTTCTGATGGTTCATTCATATGACTCCCAGTCTTCTTTGCCTTCTTCGTGTCCACGGCCGCCTGGTCTGCGTCGTCAATGGCTCCGTCGTCATCCTGTCGAGCCTTTTGTAGTTTAGCCAGCCGCACCGGAGAAACAGACCAGCTATATAGAGGATCGTATCGTAACACATCCAAGATTGTCATGATTGAATACTGCTCTTCTCGTAGCGCGTCAAGAGTGACCTCACAACAGCGACGGAACACGCCTTCTGTCTTTGTAATCCCCATGCCATCTACAATATCTCTGGTAAGGCGAAAGGGTACAAGCTCCGGTACGGGCAGAATTCTGCCAGTCTCAAATGCGATACCGAGATCAATATGGACAACCTCTCCAGTCTTGGTATCTAGTAGAATGTTGTGACCGTGGCGGTCGCCCAGGCCGAGCACATGTCCGAGCATTGATATAGCCGCCGTGCTCCGCGTGTATGCTAGTCGCTTTACGAACCACTCATCAGGGTCTACAAAGTACTCCATGAAGAAGTAGCGCATGACGGGCTGAAATCTTTCCGTGACCTTTCTGTATGTGCTGATACGCTGTTCCACCGTTCTGTTCTGGACATTGAATATCTCTTTTCGGCATTGCGAGCCCTTAAGATCGCGAGGGTGGTACCGCTCATGTGCCGGCATCAGAAATTCATGCAGTGGAATTGTGTCGCGGACAAACTCAATCAGTCCAGACGACGCCGTAAGCGGAAGCACTTTGTACGTTCGAATGCCCAAGTTCCTCTGTCGTGTAGCTCTATGAAGCTTGAGCAGGGATGAGACTGCCGCAAAGACTTGCTCCATGATGGCGTCTTGACGGAGGTCGTCCTGGCCACCCTTCACCAGCTGCTTATATTTCGCCCCATCGGTTCCAATCGCAGTGATAATCTTCGGCGCACTCACACCAGAGGCGATTGTCATAGTTGGTTCAAGCCTTGAGATCAAGGGAACTCTGGAATAATCTTTGTTGGCATTAACCTCGATGTGCATGGTCGGTGGAGGTATACGGAACTTTGCAAGGTAGTTCATCAGATTTTTGGCCGCGGTGGAATCTTTCAGCGCAACTTTTGCACCGGATTTGTACTTTGCTTGGTCTCTCTCTAGGGCAAGGGCGTGGTAGCATTTGCTTGTTTTCTCAATCGACACCCAGATATCAGCAACGGCTTTTGTGTTTGCAAGCTTTGCTGCGATTTTCTCGTTGGCCCTGACACGAAGGACTGCTACTTCGTCCTTTTGCTGAACTCTCGCTTTGGTGCCGGACCAGATATGATACATGCCATGGTAAGGGTGATCGACGCAAATATTGTACACCAAATTTGAGAGCAGCTCCTGAAATGCTGAATCTTGGTTCTGTAGCCGCGACGTCAGCTGGCTCATGAGGCCTGCAAATTTGGCTGTGGGGACTTTTGAGAGATGCCGCGTTACTGCCTTGTTAGTCGCTTCATCGTCTGATCTTTCGAGCCACAGCGCCGTGAATCGCAAGGCGTCGTTGTTATGTTCATCAGAAGAAGCTAGCGATAACAGGTAGTTTTCAAGACTTAGACGAACAAACTCGCTGCGAGTCATCTCGACACGGCGCAGCTCTTGCTCGTCGAGGTCAAGCCACTGCTTCTCTTTTGAAAGGACATGTGAGTATTTGGCTTTGAGCTGCGAGTCTCTGGTAGAGGAAATAAGCGACTTGAGCTCTTCAACCTCATCATTTTTGCCCTTCTTTAAGTTTTGCAAACGCGTAAGATCCTCTAAGCTGTCTGGATCTTGGAGCTGCTCGTCACAGAAGACGGCAAATTGGTGAAACACCAAACCTGCTTCTTTTGCTTCGACGCCGCCTTTAAGCTCCTTAAGTGCTGGCTCCAAATACTTCTTCTGTATATCTCGGGGTTTCTCTAGACGAGCGACGGACATCCTATGACCAATCTTTGAAAGAAGGTCAGATCTGCTGACAGGTATCGCTTGTTTCTTGAGCGCTGTGATATTGTCGATGCCCTGAAGCATTTTGATCGACGTGGTCATTTCCCCGTGATCCCATAAAGAGTTTGCCACTTCTATCTTGATAGCAACATCGACATGAACGCCCAGGTCTTCACAGGGCTTAATGAGATCGCTCAGAGCCGTCGAAATGTTGAGTGACTCTTGTGTAGCTTGGTGATAACGATAGATACCAGACGCCAAAAGCATTGACTTGATTTCCATCTGCCGAATGCCTGCCACAGAAAGTGTGGCATTTCCAAGAATTGATGCATGTTGCGTAAACATACTCATGGTCGTTCCTCGACAAGACAGGATTTGGCTGACATCATCGTATCTGTATGTGTCTTAGTAGCTGCAGATCAATCTGACTTTGAACAATTTTTACTTACATGCCACTTCTCATCCACTGACTGCGTTCCTGGAATCTGCTCATCAGGCCTTCCAGTTCTGTCACATCTGCAATGTTCAAAATCTCGTCAAGCTCGGATAGCGCCGCCAAAGCTCCCAATCGGCTTCTCAGTGCTGTTGCATTGCGGTTGTTGCTGACTAGGTTCTTCATCGTTCGAGCAAAACCATCATATATAGATGCCCGGATAGCTGAGAGGTTCGTAGCCTGATGCATAGTCTGATATGCTTTATATGTTACAACAGCATGATGGTCGCTCGTAGCTGGCACAGGAAGGTTCCATATTTCGAGTCTTCTGGCGGTATGAAAGGTGCTTTCTATAGAAGATGGAGTTGAGCCAAGATTTTGTTGCGTTTGCATGAGAGAATGAGATAGCCCGGCAAATCCAAGAGTCCCTAGTGCCTTCACGAGGGCATGGGCGTCCGACTCTGAAGTATTTTGCCGCAGGCGAATATGGCTATCATACTGAGCGCCTCGGAAGGCTAGATTCTTTGTCCCTTCTTGTTCATATTCTAGGCGGGACAAGACATTCGACAAGCTTGCCTCTTCAGGTAAGCCGTAGTACGCATCCGGATCATCAATATTCTCGAAAATTGCCAACAAGGTTTCGTTGATATCTGCTTCTTTGGCTACGGAGGACCTTCGAGACGCGCGGGCTGTTTCAGAAGCGGCTATTTCAGCGAAGAGGAGTGCTGTCTTGTGCATACCACACCGGGTTGCGGATGATGCAGCCATAGCGTAGTCAATATCTAGCCAATGCAGCCGGTCTGCTATGGATGCCTCTTTGGGGTATTCTTGGGTTCTAAGATAAAGAATCGTGTTAATCAGGAGCTTGATATTACCTCTCGCCGTAGGCTCTGCTGATCCTAGCCATTCCTTCATGGCACCGGATAGTGACTTCTTAGTAGCTTGTTGCTGCTCCAATTGGAAGTAGAGCACCAGGTGGACGATGAAAGGAAAGGCCTTTTCAGCGAAACCCTTGACTTTCAGCAGCACTGGTGAAAGTACGGAGAGAAGGATTGAGCTGGGCACTGATTGGGAAAGGAATGCGCTCAATCGTCGTAGCCAGTTCTGCGAGGTAACATCTTCAGTCCACGAAAACTGATCATCATCTGGTAGTCCAGTAGGCGCAGTTTCTGAGGGCGGAGTGCGATATGATCCCCATTGAGATGCAATGAAGAGTGACTCAGACAGACTTCGCTGGCCTGCCGTGACTAGGGGTCCATCGTCTTCGACAACTGCTTGCGATATTGCAGTCCGCAAAGTGGCTTCAGCTAAGCCGGCTGTGACGGAATTGGGATCCATCGTAAGGTCTTGGAGAAGATGGAGGAGTCCCATTTCAGAACCATGGGGCCCTGGCGCTATCTTTTCATATTGATCAAGCTGTGATTCTCGTAAAATATCCTCAGGAATGGTTCCAGAGGCTAGAAACGAACGACCGACGACTCGACCTGCCCAGGATAGGTAATTTTCACTGAGATTTTGGGCTCCGCAGCTTTTCCATACCGCCGAAGCATGAGCAATGGCATTTTGGTCGCTTTCCACAACATCATTTCTGCTATGTGTTGGAATCGTAAAATCGCCACAGAGAAGGCCAAGAGCAAGTTGTCGTGAAGATTCGTTAAGTAACTGGCTCTCTGCTATCTCATCATTTAAGATATCCAAGAGAAGCTTGCTCTCCGAGGTATTCTTCTCCGCATTCCCGGAAGACCGTATATGAGCTGCCGATAGAGTAATGGATTTGAACAAATCATTCTGCGACTGGCTCTCAAATCTTGGTGAGGTATAATCTGCTAGATACTGACTGAACCACTCATGAAACTTCTGTGCTTTACTCATGGTAGCCTTGAACTGGCTCTCTTGAGTAGTGCTAGACTGGCTAGACTCAAGGAAAACCCTCAAAGAAGCCAAGGCCGACAGAGCGTAGCCAGCAAGAAATGATGGTACTTGAGTCAGGTATGATTTCCCCCGAGAAAGCAAATATTGACTAATTCCGAGCGCATCGTCTGCGCATTCAGAATCCACAATGAAGCCTCGAATAGAACTCAATAGCATCTCCAAACAGTATGATTCTAAAGCGACGGGCCCGGCCAAGCATACTAGTATCCTCACCTTGCGAAGGACAGAGCACGCGTGAAGAGATCCGAGCGCTGGATGCACCGTGTTGAACAGCTTTCGAGCAATAGCAACTACTACTGCTGGCGTCCAAAGGTCGTGAAATTGGAACTCGGTGCCCTGACAAAGACGTATAAGTTCATTGAACACAGATTTTGCTCTGAACATTGGCTGCTGATTCGGTGGAAGATTAGCTGGCGAATGCGCAATAGCCTTGATTGCTTCCAAATTCTCGCCCGCATATTTGAGGTGCGTCTGTTTCAAGAAGACCTTTTCCACAGGGTCTTCTTGATCAATGAGATCGAACAAAAGGGCAACTATGTCAATGAAATGAATATATACCGACTCGATATATGACTTGGAGCCTAGCTTTTGCTTGATGCGATCTTCCCCCTTTGCTTTTTCTTGGCTTCCAAATGTGGTTGCATATAGTAAGCCATATGACAGTGCGGTTGCAAAATTCTGCTGGATTAGCTGAGGCTCTGATATGCCAACCAGTCGAGCTATGTCGGCACTTGTATTCTCCTGTCCTCGCATTATTGCTAGACCAATGGCTTCAGCTTGTGCAGACTTCAGCAAATCCCCAAGGCTGGTATATCCAAAGATGGAATATGGAATACTCTCTACTGTGTTGACTTCCAGCCAAGTGTATAGAAGCTGGCGAGAAAACAGCCGGAAGAGTTCCGTTGGAGACTTCAGATTTAAGACAATAGATATATCCGCTAAACATCGTTTTGCGTAATCGGCCGACTGAGATATTTTGCCTGGAGTCTCAAAAATATGATAGGTACATCTCCTGAGAAGAGTAGGCCAGCTGCAAGCGATCTTGGATAGAACCAGTAAGCGGAAGGCGATGCCTGCGCTATTATCGGGGTCCGTTGGGAGGTTGTCCAAGACATCCACGAAAACCTCGTCGTGTAGCATTAAAATATAGAGCTCAAATATATCGGCAACCCTCTCTGCAATGAAGCATTTGACCTTCATTGGACCCTTCTTTAGTATGAGAAGCAACGAGGTTCGACATGAATCAAGCCCCAGGCTTCTTCCGTATTCGGGATTGATCCTCAACAGAGTGAATAATAAGCGGGCAAGTGACATTTGAGTCTTTGGAGAAAGAATGTTGGAAGGGAAGCAGACTTTGACAAAATGATCATATAGATCGCCAACCATATCCGCCAGATTCTGGTTATCTTGAAGCCAGGTGTTGCTCAGACCGTCAATCACCTCAATGCAAGTGGTTTGAGCAACTTCGCATGACTGATATTCCGGGTTCCCAACGATCTTGCCAAGTCTTTCAACAATGGCCAAAGCTGCTTCTCCATCCACAACAAGATCTGATCTAACAATCTCTATTAAGAGACGCTGGCATGAGAGGAGCTCGTCATCAGACAGCGCCAAGAGATCATTGACGTATGAAGCCGTTAATAGGCCTAGCTGGCTTTTATCCTGGTGGATAAGTTTTAGAAGTGTTAGCCTCAGCCTTGTGTCGATGTAGAATGCTTGAGGATTGAGGCACAATTGTATATTCTGCCTTGGGGTGGAATAAGCGTTGGACGCTGTCACAACTTGGCTGTTGTACGAGCCAAAATCGTCATCTAAATCCATAATATCAGGATGATCTCCTGAGCGCTGACTTGCTTGTCGCTGCTCTATGATTTCGGACATCTTGGAAAGAAGATTGAGAATGCCAGGACGCTCCGCACACAGTTGACTCAGGTTTGTTGTGCTGATTTCGGGTATGCACGCCCTTAGCTCTTTCAAAGTCAACTCGACGAATGCTGTAGGTTCAACGGAACATAGTGCAGCTGAAATACCGCTCTCGGCAAGCTCCAATAGAAGCGCCTCTATGGATGAAGACTGAGTCGAGTTAAGATCGCTCAAATGAGGCATCAGCAATGTTCCCATTATGCATGCAGACATAAGGCTTTGAAAGCGATCAAATGAAATTTGGGTTCCACCGTCACTGGCTTTCTTCGTCCATGAAGCACACAACTCTTTCAGCTCTTCGATTTTAGGATAGAGGAGTTCTAAAACAAGCTTTTTCAGAGCAAAAAAGTTGTTGGCGTCTGCTACGAGGGGGAGAGCCTCTTTAGCTGATAAGTAACAACACTCGCTAGAAATGGTGTCGCAAGTCTCATGTCCCAATAAGAGAAGATACTCGTTGAAATCTCCAATCTCTCTCTGGGATATCCATGTCTCACCCAACGAACCACCAGAGGCAACATCTTGACGGGTTGAAGAAATGGGTTGGGCCCCGCAGCATAGATGCAAAATGTTGACGAGATCAACAGGGCGTACATGTGCAGATTGGAATGAAGAATATGCTAGCTCACCTATTAAAAATACCAGGATTAGCAGATATCAAGATAGCTTTTCGACTTTGAAACATACTCGGATTCCATCGTAAGAAAACCCATCTTATGATGTGGCTTGAGGTGCTATGGCTGGCACTAGGTAGCCTCGAATTGCGAACATGGAATAAATGTGACATTAATGCAAGAGACGTGTCACACAATATGCCAGGTCCGTTGATATCTGCTGTTGTAATAATGCTGTTTATATCGTCCGACAGATTATGGTATGGCAAAATATCGGTTTCGATTATGCTGTGCAGTAAAAAACAAGCGGCACGGCTCGTTGCCGGAAGGCTGACTGAGCGGGCAGCCAAATGCCATATTTGTCTCCATATGTCCTGTTGAAGCCGACACTCTTTGGACCATAGAGCGCAGCTGTAGAAGGTTAGCAGTGGACAGGCACAGAAACGTTTTGACGTCTCACCTGGCGCAAGCAATTAGGGCCCAAGACGCCGTGATGGCATTTTTGTCTCCAGCAAAGCCAACAAGATCCACGAGAAGCTCGTCGATCTCACTGTGACTCAAAGTATTGGTTGCAAGCATGAATGGCACTAACTGCAAGGCAGTTCGAACAACTCCGGCATGATTCGATTTGAGCTTGATTCTGAGAGGATTTGGATCCTGTTGGATCCGTCGCTTCTTCCTAGGTTGCTCTCTATTTTCAGCATCCTTGTCCCCAATATCCTTTTTAGGACGTAGCAATATTGCCTCTAAGAAGGCAAGATTCTGAACTATTGCCCAATGGCTTTCTCCTTCGATATTGTGAGGACGGAGCCCAAATAGACCAAGTTGCATGACGTGACCTTGTGAGGGTGACGGCGTGAAGGTCAAATCAGCAAGTTGGAGACGAAATGCCTCGCTTCGTTTGGCATACTCCTGCCATAGAGGCTCAATCAAGTGTTCCAATTCGTTACGTACATCTGAATCCCACAGATTGACTGCAAGATGTTCCAGATGTAGATGCATGAGGAATATGCTCCTTGATATCTCATTCCTCAGAGCCTTGATCAATTCATCCTGAGAGACTTTTTCTGCGCGCCACCAGTAGCTCATATGAGGTAAAAGGTCTTTCGCCAAGGCAATTGCGTCGTCTAGGCAGTCTGCTTCAGTGGCTCGAAAGACTGTGTTGACGATTGAAAAACACAGTGTCTGCGTGGAGCCTGGGCTGAGATGTTTGCTATTTAAGACTCTCAGGGCCAGGTTGGTAATGTCTTGTGCTCCCCGAAGGATCGGAGCATTGGCCGCTGAGACTAAGTGATATAGCCCTTCAAGAGCATCTTTTAATGGGCCACCTTCTCCCTGTCCAGTGTGACGCTGGGCTTGCAGAGCTGAGTTTGACCTTGGCAGAGATCGAGAAGAAGAGGCAGTCGGCGCAGGAGAAGGTCTCGCAGTGTGAGGCAACGAAGCCGTGTTGGCTTCGCTTGGAAGAATATGGTCAGCAATGTCCAGAAATAAGTCGACGCAAGCCTGCCATGGCTCTGCCTTTTTTCTCGCCAGGAGCTCAACATTAGCCTGCCGAGACACAATTTCTGTCAGGGCTTTGACATAATCTTGCAGTAGCGGCCGTACAAAATCTTCGTCAGGGCCAGGCAAGACTTGGGTGATGTGATCTATGACGGCAAGCAACGTCTTCCGCCCTATCTTGGTGGCGCCACGGCTTGCTGCCATCCTGACTGCGGCCGCACATTTGGACAGTCGCGACGCCGCAGTATTCGCCGTCGACTGTGACTTTTTCTTGTCATAGTAAACTGATTTTTGGTTTAGCACAAAGTTGAATATGGCCTCGAATATTTCGTGGTAGCTTTTATCTCCTAGATCAGAGCTGTGGATGATGTTAGAGCAGAAAGGCGACCATGACACAGGTGAATAAACCATACAGATTCGCAGATCTATTCCTCGGACTTAAAAGTTGGGCCAGATCTTGAGATGAACATTAATACTGAACGATATTCGGGGATTTGTGACAATTCTCATACCATCCACCGCTTTCTCGCGATCTCTAACGTTGCCTGACTTCACCTTGCCTGCAGTCGAGGTCAGTACGAGTAAGACACATTATAAGAGATGGCGATGAACGCACTCGCTAAGAGCATGACGCTTGATCCGTGAGAGGAAGCCATTGTGCTTTTGCATTCGAAAAAAAGGATTCGCCAAGTCTAAACTCTATAAAAGGACTATTGCAGGCTTGCTGATGCGTAATGGGATTCTATATGTTGGTATTTTGGTCACAGAGCGGTTCGCGTCGCGACAGTGCTTCATCCGTCAATAAGCCGTTGGAGCAGCCGCAGTGCGTGTGAGTGCCTATGATGGGAGTATCATAACGAAAAATAAATTTTGGTTGAAAAAAGGAGAAAAAAATCAAAGGAAAAGAAAAGAAGTCATATACAGAACAAGGCGACTTTTATGTTCAAATAACGGCAACAATTCACTTGTCCCCAGGCTTTCCTCGAGCTGCAGCCCGTTGCCTAGAACTGCGTTTTGAGCTAGGCGCAGCTGCGAACTTAGCTGATGTACCGGCAAAATCTTCACCGCCTTCCCGAAAGACGCCGCGAACAAGGCTGGCAGAATCGCCAAAATATCCAGAAGCTCCAATCCACCAACACGGTCGCTTTCTCACGGCTGGCACCGATTTGCGCGTCTGGCGTTTCTGGGCGGCTCCCGTTATCGCGACTTATTCCAATTCCAATATGCAATAGCGTTTGATTGCCAATATGGCCGAGATTACGACACTGGATGCGCTGCAGGCCCTACACCGCGAGCTGTTGACGCTGAGCAGCGGTGGGGGCAGCAGCTCTGACAACCTAAGCAACGAACTGCTGTTTGAGATATTTGAGAAGGAGTTGGGGAGCATCTGGGAGCGTCCGAAGAAGAGCGAAAAGAGCCGCACCACTGTGAAGACGGGTATGATGCGCGCCCTCGCGAAGCAACAAGGGAGCAACATCAGCTGACATCTTCTAGGCAAGGTCTCTATTGACGGCAACGAGTATTCGATCAACGACAAGTTCCAACAGGATGTGTTTTCGCTATCGGATGAGATCGACCTTGACGAGGTGGAAGCTGCCAGGTACCTTCTAGACTCCCAGGATGATGTCTCTGTCCTCGGACGATCGCTTCTCGAGTGCGCCGTGATCCGATTCCACCAGCAGCGCAAATACGTTCTGGACTCTTTCAGGCTGCTTCTGGAGCTGAATAACTTGGACTACGAAGGAGAAGAGCCGAGCGCGTTAGAGACCATAAAAGTCTACGTTGACACCCGCCTACTCCGACCAAGCCACGGTGGAGCGAAGCGCCTTGCACCGAGATGTCTGCAGGCCATGTTGGAAATCAAGACATGGCTGCAAAAGCTAGGAGAAAAATTGACAGCTGCTCAGACTTTGGGTAATGTACCCACGGATGAGCTGCCAGAGGAGCTGGAAACCGTTGAGTTCTCTCGTGTGAGTCTGATTCAGCAGCACGAAGCTTTGGGTATCATCCTATGCGAGTGTGTGGACAAGAGGCAGGCCGAAACAGCAGACTTTACAGAATTCATCTCTATATTGAAAAAATGGGATAGATATGACACATTACTAGGTCAGTACCGCCATATACGTTTTCCAGTGGATGTTTCAACTAACGTGAATATTCTTCGAATGATAGTCCACCTCGTTCCAGCAATCGGCGCCTACATGTCTGTCTTTGCATCATCCGAAGGAGGCTACGATTTAAGGCAAGGCAGAGATCTTAACAGACAGATTTTCCCACCTTCAGATGACTCAACCTGGCCGCTTCCCTTTCTACATGCCACGGTTCGAGCGTGGTGGCTTGCAGAATATAGTGGATGGTATCTAGACGATCCTCCCGAATCTGCTATTCCACCAGGCACTGACCTTGATGAAGGTACGGATTTACACTGGCGATTTATATCTCAACTCAGCTAACTTTACTTTAGAGGATCGTCAGAGGTCAAAGCAGTTCCTGGACTCCCTAAAGGATGGCGCGTTTGACTTCATGCTCTCGGTGGCCGGAGATATCCGATCTCCAGACTGGCATGACTCTGTTCGAGCGGGCATGCGAAAATGGCTACAACGAAAATCATCACCGTTGGTTTCTGAGCGAACTCAGTTTTCTAGTTTCTTCCAGTTGTGTTTGATGTCTCAACTGGAGGTTTTTGTTGACGCCTTCATAACAAATCTACCTGACGTCCTCCGAAAGCTCAGAGTGGAAGAAGACGAGCAGCGCCAACTCAGCCAGACGCACGAACAAGACCTGGATTTGGAGAGGTTCCTTTTAATTATCGCATACGCTTATGAGGGGCGACCTGATGCCTCTGCAAATTTTTGGCAAGACCCAGACAGCAATCTCGCGGGATTTATGCATTGGGCTTCCCGCAGAGCCTCAACGCCCTTGGTTGCAGCCTTTTGCGAGATGCTCCAAGCTATTTCCGTCAACGACGAATGTGCCACCGCCGCGCATGAGTTCCTCCTAGACGAAGGCCATCATTCGTCTGGTAAGATGAGAAGGACTCAGTCATTGACGTGGACTCAGATATTCAAGGAGCTTGATTTTTTCTCAGACAAAATTAAGCAGAAGCCTATGCCAACCCAGACAGTAAGGTTTCGCGGCGGAAAGCTCGCTTCCGATGTCATAGAAACCGAACCGGAGTCATCCATGATGCTTGAATGCTATCTGCGCCTGATAACGAAACTAGCGAGCGAAAGTGAGATCACTAGACAGTTTCTGTTGTTAAACTCTGGCTACAATCTTGTCGATATGCTGTACGAACTGGCCAGCAGCCCCATACCTTCTCAGCTGCGCGGCTGTGTCTTCCTGGCCTTGAAGTCTTTGGTAAGCCGCAAGAGCCTTCAGGAGAACCACGCAATGTGGAGGTGTCTGGAGAATTGGATCTCCGGGGGTTATGTTGGTGCAGCAACCGCGGGCACGATACGATCGACGCAACTAGCACCCCTAGTGTCAATGGATCGCATCTTTGATGAGATGAGCAATGGCTTTGAGGATCCCGAGTCCTTCATCAGGCTCTTGCTCGAACTGGTTACCCCTGCAAGCGATTCCAATCCACTGAACGACGGTCTGCCATTTCCAGAAAATCTTGGTGCCAGTTCCCGAGCGCCTGGAATTGAAGTATATATCGATTTTGTCATTGGTCTTGTTTTCTCATCAAAGATTCAGGAGCTCCAAGACGTTCACCAAACGAGAGTGCTCAGACTCAGCTGTCTCGAATTTATACTCGCCTGCCTTACCACGTTCAACGAAGATCTCCTAGTTTTGGCGAACGAGACGAACATTGCCATCGACTCATTAGTCTCGACGACTGATTTGGCGACATATGTTAGGATGCATCCTTTCGCGCGAGTGATGGAATGGATGTTCAACGACAAAGTGATGACGGCCCTCTTTAACACCATTCACCAAAAGTCTGTCGATATTGGCAACGCGACTCCAGACTCACCACTTATCTTGGGGGTGCTGCGTGCGGTAGAGGTCATATCAAAAGTCCTTGACCTTGAAACGACTTATCTCGATCTTGTTCGGCCGCTAATCAAGACCCAATCTGGCTCACGCAGACAACCTGTCGCCAATGCTGCGTACGCCTCGTTCCAAGATGGGCTGGTGACGAGACTAAATCTCGTGGTAGACCTGGGAAAATACTGCGGCATAGGTCATCCTGACTTGACTTTAGCCTGTCTAAAATTGTTGGAGAAGATGTCTTCATCATCTAAGATCACAGCTGCTTGGTCTGGAACTAGTCGCCATGCCCATCGAAACAAGGCAATTGTTGCCATGGAAGCGAATGGAGAGCATGAAGCTATATCACGAGCGTTCATCGCCGAAGTAATGACTCCTCTTGAGGCGGGAAGTGGAGCAGATTCGCCCCTCTATATCACAAAGGTGTACATCTTGGACTTTTTATATCAATGTCTTCGAATGACGCCAAAGGAGCCTACCATTGCACACCTGTTGCTGGGTTTTAAATGCGGATTGGATTCGCTCTCGGTCGAAGTCAACAGCTCTTTTGCATCCCGCACGTCATTGTTTCACAGTATATTGGGACTTTTGCTGGAGTCTCCGTCTAACGATGCACTCGGTATGAGACAGTGGTTGATTGGCATCAAGTCTCGCGTGATGCGCATATTAAACATTCTTTGGAGCTCACCACTGTCGTCTGCGGTTGTCATCCGAGAGCTTCGCGAGAATGAACTCCTCTTCCACCTTCTTACTCGTGAGACGGTCATCCAGCCAGACTTGTCTTGGGAAGGCCAAACTGTTGGAAACGCACAGTTCCCGGTGACCGATGGAGCCGTGACACTGATTGAATTTCTGACGCTTCGAAGTATGACTTTTGAGTATATAGCCATGGAACTCTGCAAAATAGCCCAAGGGCGTATGCCTGGTGTCAAAAGGCGCATTTTTGATGCCCTCAACGGCCAAATTGTTGCAGAGAACAACGAGACGATTCAAACCCCGACTGTATTTGATTTGTTCGATTTCCTCCTGCCAGACGGATTTTGGGAGATTCCACCGCCGCCAATTCAATTCTACAAAGACCTGGATCTCTCTGCATGCCTGGAGCACGACGCCGACGCCAACCAAGTATACAACCTAGAACGAGTTAGAGAGATTCTTTTGTTAAAGAGAGGAGAAGCGCAGAAAAACACAGCCATTGCGGCTAATGACCTGGCGCTCATCGAAAGAGAAGAGGTTATGATAATTGAGTATCTCATTTCCTCCGACAGACAAAAGCAGATTGGGTCACAATCTCTCCGAGTCTTGCGGTCATGGATCAAGGTGTTGCTGGTCATGGTTGAGTCTTGTGACTATAAAGGCGCAGCACAGACGTCATTTTTCCTCCAAGCATTGCAGGCTATTCTGCCAAGTTTGGAAATATTCGCCTCAGATCGTCCTGATGAAGCTCTAGAACTGGCCAAGCTGGCAAGAGTCTTACTCTTTAAGCTTGACCTCTCTCCTCTTTCAGTTGAGGACAATATTAATGGAACTATCGGCAATCTGGTTAGCGACAAACTGTATCAGCTTTTCCAGACTTGTCTCCAGGCAATTGGCAAGTGGGCAGGCTCTCCACAACTGAGATCCGTCTATTATGAAATTTGCTACCGGTATCTGACGGGCATGTCGGAAGATCTTGGACCATTGACCGCCAGCCGCCCGAAAACGTTCAAGACTGTTCAGGTATATGGTGAGCGACTGATCAATGTCGTTTGCGATGATGTCTACTGTGGAGACCCAGGGTGTCAGACTTCAGCCCTCATCTTCCTAGGCGCTCTGGTCCACATGGACAGCCAGGAGCGAGAGAGCTATATTGTCGAGACGCTTAACAAGCTGAACTTCATCAGTATTCTTATTGACTCTTTGCGGAACATTATGAAGGAATGGCATGATGTCTTCGCTTCCAGTACGCCTCCCCTTACCCCTTTCTCTAATAATCCCGAATCCCGTCTTAAATCCCCGTGCTAACAATGCTGGTTCTAGACAATACTGATCAGCAAAACTTCCAAAACGCCCGTCTCTCCATCATCCTTCAGCTGGCTCAGTCTCGCACCGGTGCTAAGTACATCCTCCACGCCAACCTTTTCCGCACCCTGGAAAACTCTGGTCTCTTTGCCGCCGACCCTGAGCTACAGATCGACGCAGCAAACCCCCGCGCGCTGGAGCAGCATTACGATCTGCTCGCCAGAGTTGTCCGTATCATTGGCGCAGCCATTCTGAGCCGCGGCAATAACAACGTGACGCAAGGACGCAAGTTCCTTACGGATCACCGAATGCTCGTCAGCCACGCTTTGAAGCGCAGCGCCGGCATTGGCACAGGGAATGAAGACCAGCGCCTGGAGGAGCGGATTGAGGAACTTGCAGACGCATTGGTGGTCGTCATTGCTGCAACAAGCTTCTTGGAAGTAAGTCAATTTAAGCCATTAACCCCCTTTTTTATAAACCTTCGACAAACGCGTGACAGTATTAACCTTTTTTTCCCCCGCAGTTTGAAAATGATATCCTGCCAGAGCCTAAGCAGCATGACCACCCGCTTTTTCATTGAGCAAGAAAGACAGAGGGACAAGAGAGGGCTTGGTTATTTTAATAAGGTTTTAGAAATATGTAAGGCATGATAATGGCAAGGTGCTTTGTATTTTTGTGTTTATTTTTTTGAGTTGTTGCTCGTTTTCTTGAATGAAGTAAAGAAGAAAAGATGGGCGTTTGCACGGAAAGGATTTGCGCAGACACGAGCCATACAAGATCCATAGGTAGGAATGCAGTAGCAGCGATAGTGGTAGAGAAAGCAAGTTGTCTAAAGACAATAGATGCCTATACCTAGCAGTCTATCAAGACGCAAGTCACAGACCTCGTGGAATATGATGTAGTGTATGCCTTGAATTTTTCTTCTTCTTCAATTTGGGTACCTAGGTAGTTTTTCACAACAAGTCCACATACAAAACATTCTTCACAAAGGGATATTAAGACTTAGATTGACTGCAAGATTTAGAATTTTTTCTTTTTTTGTACTAGTAGCGCTATATACAGAGAGGTAAGGTAATGTGCAAGCGTGAGAGGCATGTTATGCGAATGCAATCGGAAGTCTAGTGGCTCTGCTGCAGTAGGACCAGAAGTAGGGGACAGTCCTTGATATATTGCGCCTATCCCATTGAGACGCATCGCTGAAGTCATGATGATCAGGCCGATTATAGCGAGGCCGGATGATGTAAGAGCACTTCGGTTATGGTGAGACGGATGAAAAGCGTCCTTTAGTGAGGTATCCGCACAAACAGGTAGGCAATGGTATAATGTTCGTAATGCTTTGTTTACAAAAAAAAAAGGAAGGAGAGGGTAAATATGGCGATGTTTATTCCATGGCTTGCGCTTTGCGCTTGCCTTGACGGGTTCTCGTCATCAGTTTCAGCTCCAGCGGCCAGTATCCCTTCGTCTTGACTGAATAGTTTTCGCGGGGCTTCATGTCAATCTTCGCTCTGCACATGGGACATTTGCCCCTCGTTGATTCGATGCTAAGTGAGGAGTAAAGGCATTGCGCACAAAACAAGTGTCCTAGACATGATGTTAGCAGGCCGCATGATGCTATATTTGTAGCTTGCAGGCGCAACTTACCACAATGCGTGAGAGTCAGTCCTGTTACGTCGTCCATGCATATAACACACTGAAACGCAGACAGCTTGACTCTGTTGTCCACCTCTGGCTTTTTAAGCTCTTCGGGAACGTCGTTGACTTCGGTGAGGTCTATCGTAGTATACTCCTCGTTTTTCATGTCAGAGCTCGACCCCGGTCTCGGAGAGCTGGAGCCGAACAAGGCCCAGTTGTCGCCGTCGTCATCACCTATCACAGTATCCACGGATGAGGGCTGAGCGGCAGAAACCGAAATTCTCCGCCGTTTGCTGGCATTTGCAGTAGAAGCTGAGGAGTCGTGACCTTCGGGGGGGAGAACCCGGCTGCGCAGAGATCGTCTTGATGTCGGAGGCATGGTGGCGAATGCGGAGGGAGAAGATCTACCAACAGTCTCGGAGATGGGCAGCGGGAAGCCTGGAAAACCGTCAAGATCGTGGAAAAGCTCGTCGTGAGCACTGTTGTCGCTATCGAAAGCGGCTTCAGCAGAGTTTGGGAGGTGAGCGGAGCCTTGGCCGGAGGCGGGTGGTGAGGCTGAAGTGTAGGCGGCAGTGGCGCTAATCCGGCTAGTGTTTGTTGTTCCCGCAGCGCGGTTTTGATGGAGATGACGTGAAGAAGGCGCTGCGGACGCCGATGTAGAAGCGGAGGCGGGTACAGCAGAAGAGGAGGGTTCTGCCAAAGAGGCTGCTGGGGCCGAGACTGAAGCCGGAGGTGGCGCGGAAGAGTTGCCGAACTCAAAGTCGACGCGAAGGTCTGGGGAACGTCGCGGCGGGCGCGACGGTGACTGGAGCAAGGGCGGCTGCGAAGTGAAGGGCGTGAGGGGCGAGGCAAAGTCGCTCAGGTCGAAGCCAAAGGCTCTGGCGGCAAGGACACTGACGTCTGTTGCGGCAGAGTCATCCTGCAGCCACTGGTTTGGCTGGTCGAGCTGGGTCCGGTAATTCGACCAAAAGGCCGTCTGCGGGCCGAGCAGCAAAGGAAGGCGGTTGAAGGGCGAGTTCAGCGGCGAGTAGGGATCGGGCTGCAGCGTGGTGAGGCTTTCGAGCGAGACTGGAAATGGGCGCGACGAGGTAAATTCGGAGAGTTGTGGTCCCCCATACAAGTATCGGCTGAGTGGCGAGGGCGAAACCTGAGGCAGCGGCGGCAACGGCGGCAGAATCGGGCGGGCGGTGGAGGTGGAAGAAAATGGTGAGGAAGCAGCGCCGGCGGCTGCAGAGGCAGCAGCGGCAGAGGCAGTGGAAGAGGCCGATGCAAACGCGGATGCTGAGGGAGCGACGGCAGCGGGAGGCGTTGGAAATGATGAGGAGGGAAAAGAGAGTCGCGCGGCGGATGACGAAGCAGCAGGACCTGAGGCAGGGCTAGCGGCTGATGCAGTGGCAGAGGCAGAGGCAGAAGCAGAGAATAAAGAGGCCGCAGAGAGCGCTGGTGGCCGCAACGGGCGATGCAAAGGCGGCAACGTCGATGTTGATGCTGATGTTTGTGCTGATGTCGGCACTGCTGATGCTGATGATGCTAATGTTTGTGCTGATATCGATCTCAATGTCGATGCTGATCCTGAAGGCGTCGAGGCCGGTTGCGTTTCCATGCCGAAATCAAAACCAGCGCCCGAACCAGATGTCCGGCGTGGAGTCATTGACTGACGCATTCCTCGATTCTCGATTCCCCGTCGGAATCGCCAGACGAAGAAGACAAAGAAAAGCAGGAGCAGATGAAGGCCAGACACCAACAGGGTGCAGGCTGGCAGGCAGCAAGAGGGAACACAGGCTCTCGTATGGATGCTAATAATCAATCACCGGATATCATGGGTGCCAGTCCTTGCTTGCATCGTGGGATGTCATTGTCTTTTTATCTCCGCAACTAAACACGGGGGGGCTGGATGGCTTAAGACGGGGGAATGAGAAAGAAAACAGGAGGCACCATGATTACTAGCATCAAACACCGGGCTTGGAGGCAAAAGCAAAAAAGCAAAAAAAGGGAACAGAAAAAAAAAAAGAAACAACTGAGGCGGAGGTGTGGTAATACAGTCGTAATATCGACCACGGGTTCGCCGAGGCTGGCTGTTGCAGCCGCACCGAGTCAGAGCCCGGGCCCAGAGCTAGTGCTTGACGGGAAATGAAAGAAAGAGGCACGAGAAGCCATCGGGCTGCATGTCTCAGGCTTGTTTGTTTATTGAGGGCTTTGATTGGTGTCTGCCGAGGCGTGCCGGGACATGGAAAGTATGTGCGAGACCGCGGGAGGAAAAAAAAAAGGGTACAAGGTGATGGAATTATGTGGGAAATCGGTTGTGCTTAGTATGGATACTTGATACTTGGTAGTTAGTAGCAACGGCTACTTATACCTACCTGTAAGAGGATATAAAGGCAGGCATTGTTGATATAAAGAGGTACTGCCAGGTAGGTAATAAGCAAGGTAGGTAGGTATAGTAGGTAGAATGGCAGCGAGAATCGAGGTACCCGAGTTGCGCAGCGATTAGTATTAAAAGGGCAAGGTACGGAGTGCTATGAATTAATATCAAATTTTGCTTTTTATTCCGCGTCCAATCCACAGGTATCTCTTGGTATTATTATGCATGGCTTCGCAAAATGCTGCTCTCGTCCATTCGGCCCACCGCCTGCCAAGACAAGCCATGTCCTTCGTGATGCCTACATGTACCTACGTGATTGTGTATTTTCAATTTACAATCCTCATCTTCACCTTTTACTCTCAATTACTGTACCCTCCTGCCATCAACTCGTTTCTCCCCCTTATTCACGGCCGCTGTTTGCCTCGAATGGCATGTCTCATGTCTCATGAGTGGCGCCACGACCACCGGCGCTTATATCACGATATTACTCGTAACATTACGGCATCCTCCACAGACTAACAGACTAACAGACAAACAGCCGCCACCTCTCCGATTCGCCTGTTTGCCCGTCCAGCTGCGGCTGAATGACCACGGCATGCACCCAAGACAAGACACTTTTCCCTTTGCTGTGTCAATCATCAATCATCGACGGGCCACAGTGCTGCAGATGAAGAGTCACTCACTGCACACTCAAGGTAACTCGGCTCTCCATCTCATTTGCGCCTTTGCTTCTGTTTGATGTCAAGTGATGTGATGGGCAGCATCCTCTCCCTCGCATTGTACCCGTACGTGATGATGACCTGGCAGTGACAAAATTAGAATGCCTTGATATATGATATCCAAGGCACCCCTTGCGCCCAATGCCTTTGCCGGCCAACAGCCAACCACACGCCCAACCCCCTTCATATCCCCCCCTTTGTGGCACAATGTCTGCCACACCTTGCCTAGAAACGTACCAGGCCCTCCAATCCATCGACAAGCTGCGAGGGATTGTCAACTGGGAATCCTGGAAGCTCCTTGTCATGGCCAATGCGCGTGCCCTGCGGCTTGCTTCGCACATTGACGGCTCTGCACAAAGAAACCCACGGATGCCTCGCGCAAGGGAAGCCTACGCCAGTGCCGAGGCGTGTGCCCGCGTTCTTATCTTGGGTTCGATTGCTCCGGAGCTGCTGCTGCGGCTGTGCGAGCTCGGACTCCAGGAAAACGCCTCTGCTTCCGACCTGATGGCGTGGCTGCATTCCATGGTGAGCACGCGAGAAGCCGACGTAACGGCACATGAGGATCTGGCAAAACTCATGCGCATTGACCGCAAGGACTTCCCTTCCATGGACGCCTATGGCAAGGAAGCGCTGAATCTGTGGGCACGTATCAGGCACTGCTGGCCGAGCAGCGCAATTCTCATCGCCGCGACGTCCATCTTAGAGGGAATGAAGCAGTATAATGAGCACGCGTACCAAGGCTGGAAACATTTTCTAGTCATGAAGAAGGGTAGTGTTTCCCAACAAGATTTACTTGGCCTTGTAGCGGGGCTGAGGGACCGCCAGGATACACAACAAACGACGATTGAAAGCGTAGATGCAAATGCCGAAGCAGACGACAAATCGATATATAGCCACTCGAGCACCAACATTTAAGACTCTTCGTCGCGTTTATGTATTTGATTGTAGGTATCAGGTCAATAAGATTATATACGAGCGGAATAGAGAGAGAGCGAGAGCGAGAATCGGCCACAAGATCTTTGACAGAAAGAGAGCCAGCCTCCTTCACGCAGCAATATCCCCATCATCAGAGCGACCAATGGAGGCTATAGTAAGCTTCAAATAATGAAAACAAGAAAGAAAAAAACAAACTCTGATGGATACCAAAGAAAAAACCATTGCACAACAGCATGATCAAGCCGATGCCTCATCCTCCATGTCCATGTCCCCCTTCAATTCACTCTCCTCGACGCAGCCTCTACCTTGCGCTCCAGAACAGCAAGGTCGAACGCTCTGTTCAATTATCAGCAAATCTGTCTGTATCCTTTCTAGTAAAGCCCTAATGAACTGGACCAAATCCTCGTTAGTCTGCCGACAGTGGGAACACTGCTCAACTCTATATCCGTCAACCTGAGGAAACTGGTCAACTGGCGAATTCAAAGGTCGATATTCCAACTGGAGAGCAGGCGCTGGTGTTATATATGTCAACTCGGTCATTGGAAAGATTGATCCTGGTGTTCTCCCTTGATCTCGGTGTTGTCCCAATCCTTCTTCCACTTCCATTTCGTCTCCCATTTCTTCTTCCACTTCCTCGTCCGCTTCTTCTTCCGCTTCTTCGTATACTTCTTCCATTTTTTCGTACCTTTCTTCTTCCATTTCTTCGCCGACTTCTTCTTCGCCGACTTGTTCCTCGTACACTTCTCCTTCGTGCACTTCTCCTTCGTGCACTTCCTCTTCCACTTCTTCACCAACTCCTTCTTCGTACACTCCTTCTTCCATTTCTCTGTATGCTTCTTCCATTGCTTCTTTGTACGCTTCTTCCATTGCTTCTTCCATTGCTGCTTCCATGGCTGCTTCCATTTCTTCTTCCATTGCTTCTTTGTACGCTTCTTCTATTTCTCCGTATGCCCCCTCTATTCCTTCTTCGCGTGCTTCTTCCATTGCTTTTTTGCACGCTTTTTCCATTGCTTCTTTGTACGCCTCTTTGTACGCCTCTTTGTACTCTTCTTCCATTGCTTCTCTGTACGCTTTTTTGTACGCTTTTTTGTACGCTTCCTCCGTTGCTTCTTCGCACGCTTCTTCTCCCATTTCTTCCCTCGCCTCCTCTCCCCCAATTTTCTCCTCAACTTCTTCGTACACTTCTTCTTCCATTTTTCTGTATGCTTCTTCCATTCCTTCGTAGTGCATTCCTTCGTAGCACATTCCTTCTTTCATTTCTCCTCCCACTTCTTCTCCCCCCACTTCTTCTCCTCCCACTTCTTCTTCGTACACTCCTTCTCCAACTTCTTCTTTAACCTCTTCTTTAACTTCTTGGTGTACTCCTTCCATTTCTTCTCCCATGTCTTCATCCATTTTTTCAACTTCTTCAACTTCTTGTTCAACTCCTTCTACCACTTCTTCTTCTTCTTCTTCCATGTATTGTTGTATTTCCTTCTCCACTTCTTCGCACACTTCGGCTCCAACATTTTCGTCCATTTCTTCACCCACTTCTTCTTCTTCCACTTCTACCTCCATTTCAGCTCGGCATTCTGTTTCCTCGACCTCACAATTCGCTTCCAAGCCATACTCAAATTTCGAATCCGCCTCCAAACCCAGTGCCGCAGACGGCCCAAACACATCCGGGCACACGTCTTCGAAAACCATGGACTCATCAGAAGAAGAAGCACAGTTGGCAAACTGATTTGGCAAGCTCCACGTCATATCCAGTTCCGGCAGCACAGATTTCCAATCAAATTCCTCGGGAAGCTCATCTATAGCTTCGTCAATCAGGAAAGGGACCTCGATCGAGCTCTCGGAATAGCGTTTTCTTGAGCAGTAGACGTTTTCGCACTCCAAAGTATATTCCATCATAGATCGTTCTGATCGTTCATCGTCATTATGAGTCTCGGAGTTCGTATACGGGGTATGCATGATGGTGTCGTCATCACCAACGATGGTAAGGTTGTCCAAGGTACAGCTCAATTCTGATGTCAAGTCTCCGAAACTTTCCTGAGAGTCAACCAACCCCTCTGATGCAAACCACTCAAAAATGTCTGGCCGTTCGATGAACTCTGTGGTTGGAGTTAGGCAGCCGGGATAGAGTATCTCGAGTAAAGGCCGACAATGGATAATGTCTCGCATTTCCTCTTCTGTGACGATCTTTATGGCGCCTGCGTTGAGCAACCTGTTTTTTCGCCGATAAAAGTTTCCATCATCCCCCTCTCGCTTTCTTTTCTCGCCCCTGAAGTTTGCATATCTCATAGCTGGCCCTCTTATCAGCGGTGGCCTCAGCCTTGTGTTTCCATTGCTCGATGATGATAACTTGGCCCGCGGTTTGATGGCTGTACCTTCGGGATCTAAATTGGCTTGAAAGGGGTCAGATAGAATTTTTCGAGACTTCTTGATGAGGTCCATGCCTTGTGAGTAGAGTCCAAGTGGCTTGAACCCCGGCTTCAAGTCCCTCAATAGCAGGGCGCCGGGGATGTAAGGCCGACGGATGATGCGCTTGTTCGATCTCATATTGCCTTCTTTCGTCGGTATCAAGCATATGAGATATATGATCAAGGAAAGTTGAAGGCGTCATTCCCAACAGCCATTTCGAATGATTTACTCGAGCGCGCGATGCAGTTTTCAGCAGTTTTGACATCTCCGTCACTTTTCAATCAATCCACATGCATAGACCCGCCAAAAAGATTGAAGTAGTCCTCAACAAAGCCTATTCTACAGGCAACAATGCCCCATTACAGTCCAAGAGCTCAATTTATTTTATTTTATTGAACTGAGCCAAGTAAATAGGACGATTTCATCTCTTCAATCGCCCTCTGCATTTCGTTCAGCTGGGTATTCCACCACCTGCATCCCCTAGATCATCGGCCTCTCGGTTCATGCCATACTTTTTATGCCTTCGTTTGCTCATTTTTCTAATAATTTCACTTCAGTCAGATAATTTATCTTGCTTTCGATATTACAATCGCAACGTCCGGTAGCAGTAATTGAGTAGTTTAGTTGGGAAAGCAGAAAGTATATCAACACGCATGTATTCTCCGCCCGGGCTTCACTCTTGCTTCACTTTTGCTTCACTTGACAATGCAGTTTTGGCACTAGCCACGCAAAGCACGCCCATTTCGATAAACCACCCCCCAAAAGAAGCTGATTAAATTTTAGCAATACTATATTCTCTCAATTTCTCTTTTTCCCTTGAACACTTTGCTAGATTTTGTCCGGCTTCCTCGCGTGATAGAGCGGCCTTTGCCCAAAACCATGCCCGTCAGCAAGCCCAACCACATCCCCCATGCAAAATCTCAGCTCTGGTTATTCACCAAATCGGTACTCCGTACAATCCTTGGAGCTCAATCACTTTCTTGCCCATGAACCACAAGACGTACAAAGGTCGCAGTCATTCTATTCATCTAACCGCTACGTCTCACCAGCCCCTAAACCGATTCTCCACAACCGTTGTAGTAGCACCAAGACTGATGACCAAGACAAGAAACACAAGATGCACAAAAAGTACAGCTTCAGCAACAGCCGCATCACATTGCTACTTGGCTACAATAACAAAGCACCCAAGACATTCCAAGTCACACTACGCGGTCCAAAGCACAGTCACTGCATAAAACACTTTCTAATTCAAGTCTTGAATCGTTTTTATATTCATTCATCCACAGCACCGATCATGTCGTACATATCTGCGTGTCTGACCTTGGGTCTCGGTCCTTCATCCCATGCACTCTTCCACCGTAACACTGCGTAAATGAAAAACAAACAAGCCTCTAGAGTCCCATCACCAGAGCAAAATATAAGACAAGTGTAAAATGGAAGAGAAGAGTGTGGTCCTGGGTAATACACCTCGACTAACCGCAATTAGATACAACTTTTATGAAACAAGAAAATATGGACTCGTCCTCTCCCTAGATGAAAGGCTTTGCACTTTCTTCTGTCTATGTCGCCAATCAACGCCAGTAGATGGATAGGGCAGCTTTTTCGCTGGCCGGATATCTCATGCGCAAACAAAATTTGAAATGCAAATGAATTAAAAAAAAAGGGGGAAGAAGGGGGATTCTAGTTGTTCTTGGCCAGACTTTGCAGCTTGACAAGCTCGGCATAGCGGCCGTTCTTCTTCATCAGCTCCGCGTGAGTACCAGCTTCGACAATACGACCCTGGTTGAAGACATAGATAACATCTGCCTTTTGGATTGTGCTGAGACGGTGGGCCACAGCAATGGTGGTACGGCCCTTGGCAGCCTTGTCCAAGGCAGCCTGCACAACGTGCTCAGACTCGGAATCCAAGGCAGAAGTCGCCTCATCAAGAAGAAGGATCTTAGGGTGGCGAATAAGAGCTCGGGCAATAGCAATTCGCTGCTTCTGACCACCAGACAGCAGGGTTCCCTTGCTACCGACAATGGTATTAAAGCCTTCGGGCAAGGACATGATAAACTCATAGATGTTAGCCTCGCGACAAGCCAACTCCACGGCCTCGTCTGTGACATCTGGGTCTGCAGTTCCGAGAAGGATGTTTTCTTTAATAGTTCCTTGGTAAAGCGTGGGCTCTTGGCTAACCAGAGCAATATGGGACCGGTATTCATTTAGGTTAAGCGTGCTAATTTCCTTGCCGTCAATGTAAACACCGCCGCTCAAGGGGTCGTAGAATCGTTCCAAGAGGGCAATCGTAGTACTCTTGCCACAGCCAGAGGCACCGACGAGGGCGACGTACTGTCCAGGCTGGACGGTCAAGTTCAATCCTCGCAGAACTGGCTGCTCTGGACGAGTTGGATAACGGAAGTGAACATCGCGGAATTCAAGGCTTCCCTCAACTTCAGGCAATGGCAGTCCTTCCTCTGACCAGGTGTCGATGGTGGGTTGACGATCGAACAAGACCTTCAATTCCTTAGCAGCGTGATGAGCCTTGCCCATGTCCGGGGCGAAGGAGAAAATAGAGCCAGCCGACTGAGCACCGAAAACGATGGCCATGAAGCAGAGGAAGAACTGGAAAAGGTTGTATTCGCCCTTTCCAATCAGAGTACCACCGTACCAGAAGCCCAGCGCAAAGACCAAAAAGTTAAACGATTGCGAAGCGGCGTACAACAAACTGGATTTCAGAACCGACCTGAGACTGCGTCGCTGCTGCTCAACAAGCGAGTCGTGGTACAGCTTCAAGACGTCTTCTTCACGGGTAAGGGCAGCGACAGTCCGAATAGCAGAGATAGCCTCAGAAGCAAAGGTGGCCGATGCAGCATACGCCGCCTTGGAGCGGCGCTGGAAGTGAGCAAGCAGCCAAAAACGGAAAAAGCCGCATCCCAGCAAGATGGGAATACAAGCGGTACAAACGAGCGAGAGCTTCCATCCGATAGACACCGACAGAACAATAGCAGCGATCAGAGTTGTGGACATCATGAGCAACGTACCGAGAGTGGCACCGCTAAGGCCAGCAACATGGGTTGTCTCGGTGGAGAGGAACGAAGTCAAAGCACCAGCAGTATTCTCATCCTTGTCAAAGAAAGCGACATCCTGGCGCAGCATGGCGCGGAAAGCACGGTCTCGAACGCGGTGGACAAGGCGCTCAGAGCAGATGGCAAACAGGACGCCCTGGGATGCGAAGGCGAGGAACTGGACAATGGCGAGCATCAAGTACATGGCGCTCCAAAAGTCCGAGTCTTTCTTGACGTGGTGTGCATTCGCTGGAGTGATGGGTTGCGAGAGAGTGACGATTTGTTTGGCGAAGAAGACTGCAGATGTCGGGTTACCACCACCGCAAATGGCGGAGAAAACGAGACCGAGAAGCATCATCTTCCATTCAGGGGCGTTGAAAGCAGCGATAACCTTGATAAGAGTCCACAGGCTGTACTTCTGTTCCTCTTCTTGCTTTCGCTTCTGAAGGGCAATGCTGGAAGCCGACTTTTGTGTAGCGGATCGGTCAAGTTTGGCGGCGATGTCATCGTCAGGGTCAACTACGTACTCGTCCTTGTTGGTGGTCTGCTTGCGAATAAGCAGCTCCTCCTTCTCGGAAATTTCCTCTTCGTCTTCGGTGGAATCCTGAGTAACAGCAATCTTCTGGGCCGAAACGAGGTTGTAGTAAGCGCCTTGCTTCTCGAGCAGCTCATCGTGGGTACCTTGCTCAACGATGCTACCTTGAGACATGACGACAATGTTGTGGGCATCTTTAATAGTGGACAGTCTGTGGGCAATGGTAATTGTGGTTCGACCTTGGGAGGCAGCTTCCAGGGCAGCCTGAACAACGCCTTCGGACTTGGTGTCGAGAGCAGATGTGGCTTCGTCCAGCAGCAGAATCTTGGGGTTTGACACGACGGCACGAGCAATTGCGATACGTTGTTTCTGGCCACCAGACAGAAGGAAGCCGCGCTCACCAACATTGGTCTCGTATCCTTCGGGAAGGGCAGAAATGAAATCGTGAGCATTAGCCTTGGCAGCTGCGGCGATGATGAGCTCGCGCTGCTTCTCCTCGGTCGCGTTTTCGTGCTCCGTTCCGATCAATCCATAGCGAATATTGTGGTAGATAGTCGTACCGAAGAGAGTGGGCTCCTGGCTAACGAGGGCCATTTGCTGACGCAGCCACTTCAGGTTAAGGGTGCTAATATCATGGCCATCCAAGTAAACGGTACCTCCAACAGGATCGTAGAATCTTTCAACCAGACCAACAATGGTACTCTTACCAGATCCGGAGGCACCAACCAGAGCAGTCGTCTTACCGGCAGGGATCTCAAGCGACACTCCATTCATAACCTTGACTTCAGGTCGAGAGGGGTAAATGTGCTCAACGTTTTCCAAGCGAATGTTGCCCTTGAACTCACTAAGCTTCTCGCCCTTGTCGTCTGTAGGGTCCAGCGGAGAGGTTCGATCAATAGTGTTGAAGATCTTGGCAGCTGCTGCAAGAGCAGTGGTGAAAGCCTGGATATTGGGGGTGACGTTGCCAAGCTGGAAAGCACCAATCATGATAGACATCATAATAGTCAGAACCTTGGACAATGGGATAACTCCCTCAATAAGGAACTTGCTGCCCTGCCAGAAAGCCAGACCGTAATTCATATACAAAATTCCCATCATGCCGGCGATCATGACGCCCATAGCGGACTTGACCCGAGTTCCAAAGTACTGAGCCTTCTCGAGATGCTTGTCATATTGCTTGGCAAGTCGATCTTGAGTTCCAAAGGCAATAGCGTTTCGCACCGAGCTGAGAACTTCATCAGCCAAGCTGCCGCCCTGAGCAAATGCTTCAAGGGAGGATTTGTTATGCTTGAGCATGATACGACCTCCAGTGCCAACATTGAGAAGCAGGGCAAATACGGTAGAGGAGAGGATCAGGGTCAACTTCCAGTAATTGATAAAACCGATGATGAATGCAGTGAAGAAAGTAGCCAGAGCTGAGAGGGTAAGGGAAACCTTTTCCGAAATGCCATCCTGGATGAGGTTGGTATCAGCCGTAATGCGAGTGGTGACTTCACCGGCCCCGATTTTGTCGAAGAAGCCAATGTTTTGGCGCATACAACTCTGCAGGTAGTGTT